GGGAAAGAAACCTTTTAATTATTTTAATATATTGGGTCATCAGAAAAGTCATGATACATTTCTGTATAGAAAAATATATCATGACTTTTTTGATGACCCAATACTATACATTCATTTCCAAAACATATGACAAAACCATGCTCTTACCCTGTCAGTGTCAATAGAAACTCTGAGCCCAATTTTATTCATCCCGTTATTCTTCAGCATTTTTAGGTGAGGGCACAGTGCAGCACTACAAGCCATGGCTATTTCTTTTGCAAACTGGTAACGAGCTGATAAAGTTGATAAATCCTGGTCCTTTAGAAAGTAGAATACCTGAAATGTATTTAATTAGGAAATAAATCGTGATGAAGATTAAGATTTTTAAAATGCAACAATCACTTTCAATTCAACTTTAATAAAATACCAACATTAGTACCATGAAAATGACTAAATCTGCAGCCTGAACTATAGTATAAAGAAAAACTTAGAACCAAAGGATATGGAATATGGGAACAGCTCAGCTATTTTTCCCTAAATTTAACTTGCAACAGTTAAAGCTATTAACTCAATAGAAAGGGTACTAATGAGTCCATCCTATAAGGATATTTATTTGAAGATTAAAAAAATAATAAAGTCCTATAGTTTCTATATTTGTTATACATTTTATCTGTATTTTGTGCAAGCATAAAATCAAAAAGAATACATAAGAAATCAGTAACACTGACTGACCAGCAAGGGAAGATAAGTGAGAATAAAGAAGCAGACTGAGTTGGGAGTCAGTCACAATTTTTTACCTTATTTTTTTAAAATGGAGGGTACAAAATAACTTTCACATGTGAGTGCACAGTATCAATTGATATCAATAAAATATTTTAATTTTTGTAAAATAAGAAAATGAAAATAATAATGTTTAAATAACATTATATACGAAAATGGCAATGTTGCCAAATTTAACTGTTAGCTGTCAGGCAGTACCACCATACAAAAGCCTAAATATAAAAGACAACCTGGGGCCAGCCTGGTGGCATGGTGGTTAAAGCAGCTGAATCCTACATGGCTGACTGTAGGGTTTGAGTCCCTGACCCAGCGGCTTGAAAAACATGCCTGGCAGGTGTGCATGCATGTACAAAATGAGAGGAGAGTGAAGAAGGGATTGAGATATGGTCATCCCCTTTGGGAGTTCTTTCTCCTTTTTCTCTGTCTCTCTCCAGTGAGTGCACATGCCCTACAGCAAACCTAAAAAAGAAAAAAAATAGACAATCTGGAGTAGAAATATGTGTGTCTTAAAGTGTAATGTAAAATGTGTAATAGCCTATGTTTAAAGATTCTGAGGTTGAATATGCATAAACTCCATTTTAAAAAAATAAAAACCATATCTAAACAGCCTGTCAAGGAAAAGGACCTTCTTTCTCAGTTACCTCAGTACATTTTACAATCTTCTCATCAGTTTCAAAATCTGTTTCCAGTTTTATTTTTTCACTTGGAAATCCTTGTAATGATTTTCCATCCACTGAACTGATGACTCTAGAAAATAAAACAGGAGACAACAGAATTATTAAAGGTGCTTTTTATGAAATGAACTAGATTTAAACCAATGGAAAAAGAAAAATTATGAAAGCTCTAAATTTAAAGCAGGAGATATTCAGTTATGTATAAAGTAATTAAATCTGTAGTTCATATTCATTTACCAAGATTTCTTAATTGTACAATAACATGTTTTCCTTCATCAATAAATTATATCTTTTTCACATGTCAAACTCAGACCTGAGGTTTAAAATCCCTAATGAGTCTCCTAGCAGAAAAGCTGTCTCATGAATTCACACACTCTATTTCATAAGAGAATCCTTCAGCATTAGCCTCCTTCTTCCCTCTATGCTCCAGAACCTGCTTTCCAAAATAGATAATGGGTATCTGAAAAGGAGTGGCGATAATAATCTGTTAAGGTCTCCAGTGTATAAATTATTAAATTTAGGTTTTTGTAAAAGTAAAACACAATAATCATCCAAAGGGAATCCTTTACTTCCTGGACAAAAATAAGTGTCACATAACAGAAAAAGTGTCTTTTCTCAGGCGTGAGATCAAACCCATGCTGCTGCACAGTGGATGTTTTATCATTGGCTCCCTCCCCTACTGAGGGGCTGTAATTTACAGCATCCTGGCCAACAAAACACTCAGGAGGCTGGTTAGGTTTGTGTCTGAAGAACAGACAGTCAGGAGGCTGGTTAGGTATGTATTTGAAAAACAGACTGCATCAGTTAACTGGAATATAAACATTTAAATTAATGGTATAATTCTCTTTTCATTCATAAAATATTTAATTTAACAGAGTGTTTCCATCTTTCCCTCTTCATTAAATCAATCGCATTTTAACAAAACGTTCCTACCCTTGGTTTCCTTTTTCTTCAGAGTCTACCCAGCAGATATCCACATATTCTCTCAGGTCTACTGCGTCAACTTTCCCACACGTAATTTTAAAGTCTTTTTGCTCTCGTAGAGCTAGTCGCAAGCCATCCATGGTCTCTGGAGTTATCTGTACCATTAAGCCATCTAGAAATAGAGTTATGTTTCACATTTCTTTGGCCAAGTATTAATTTATATATCTAAACCTTTACTATCAAAATATGTTCTGTGCAAGATATATTTTAAATCATAAGTTAATCATCTCAATGGCTGTTTCTGACTAGGAAATAAAAACATCTCACAAAGTTAAGGATTCTTTTTTATTATTATTATTCATGATAAGAACATGTGCACGTGCATGGGGGACGGGAGGGGGAATGATAACCCTCCACAGGGGTCCTGGTCACACTGCAATTTCCTTTCTCCAGCCTTCCAGCCCATCAAATCTTGGACACGTGTGTGTACCTGGCACGTTTCAGGCTGACTGGGCTAGAATCAAACCACACTTGCCATGTGGGATCTGGCCTTTCCTGATCAGTGCATTACCACCACAGAACCAGCTGAGATTCTTTTCTTCTTAAGATTAAACATGAAAAGATCAGAATTTCTGTTTCTAGTTATGATTTAATAACTCGTACCAACACAGCCCTTTCATGACAACTAACCATAAAACTACACAAAATGTCTGAGACAGCTGTTTTCATGTACTGGACAATGGGCAATACAATACTGAGATCCCTACAGGGAATCTCAAGCCTTAAGCTCACAATTGCCCAGGCCCTCTGGCCCAGGAAGAATTCCTTACTGTAACGCAATAAGCCTACAGGGATCTTACAGGGCTGAGGACTCAGATATAAAGAGTTTGGTGAAGCCTGGAGTCTGGGGTCAAGACACTGAAGTAGGGCACCAGATGACTGTGAAGACCTTGGACTAGAACTGGGAACACATTAACCAGCTGAAACCAGATGAGCCTAACAGAGAAAAAACTGTTAAAACATTAGAAGATAACAGAGATAAAAGAAGTCAAACAATATTGGGGGATACTAATTTTTGTCCAGACCAACCAAAATGGGAAGACCTTATTAACACTTGTTGATGAACAGGCCCTGTAGCAAAAAAATTTCCTTCGTAAAATCTGCAGGCAGATTGAATGTGGTGACTGAATTGTGTCAAGTTAGAGGGGACTGGTATACACAAGGATTTCCACATAACCATGTTAACAAAGTGAAAAAAATCAAGAATACCTAAACTGAAGGTGATCAACCACTAAACCTTCAGCAAAAACTGATAGACTCTAGGGGCCAGCCGGTGGCAAGGTGTTTAAGGGACTGGACTCCCAGAAGGTCGACAAGGGTTCAAGCCCTGACCCGGTGGACTTGAAAATCATGCCAGATATTTGTGCATGCATGCCCAAAATCCTGAGAGGAGAATGGAAGAAAAGGGACTGTAGTATGGTATCCCCCCACCACCCCGTGCATATGCCCTAGGGCAAAAACTAAAAAAGCTAACAGAATTTAAAACCTCTGAAATACACAACAGTGATCAACATACAATCAAAAACTACTAGACAAATGAGGTCAGCAGATGGTGTAGTAGTTCCGTGGCTGGACTCCCACATGGCCTACCATGGTTTGAATCCTGGACCTGTTGCCTTGAAACCCACACTGGGCACCTGTGCGTGCCTGTCCAAGATCCTAGGAGAATGGAGAAGGGATTGTGGTGTGTCCATCCCCTCTGGGGGGTGATTTCTCACTTTCCTTCTCACTGTCTCTGTCTCTCTCTCTGGCAAGTGCACATGCCTAAAGGCAAAAACCTCTAAAAATAAATTACTAGACAGAAACAGAAATGCTACACACCTACATTATACAGTACAGCTTACTGTTCCTAGGCTACAAATCTGTATAGCATGTTACTATACTAAGTACAGTAGCCAACTGTAACTCAATAGTATCTAAACATGTAAACTTAGAAAGGTATAGTAAAAATACAAAAGATTAGGGCCAGCTCCATGGTGGTTAGGAAGGTCTAGTGGTTATGGAAGCCAACTCTCACGTGGCCAATCGTGGTTTCAATCCTGGCCCCTGCAGCTAGAAAAACACGCTGAGAATGTGTGTATGCCCAAATTCCTGGAGCACTGGAGAATATGGGATTGTGATATTACCATTTCCTACAGGGATGTTTTCTCCCTCTCTTCTCTCTCTGGTGAACAAATGCGCATTCTGGCAAATTAAAAAAAAACAATCAAGCATATGAAAAAATAATGCAGTTGGGGCTAGCAGGTGGCACAAAGGTTAAGGTGGCTGAATCCCACATGGTCAAACGCATGGTTTGAGCCCTGGACTCAGCAGCTTGAGAATGACATCAGGTATGCATGTGTGGGCCCAAAATCCCGAGGGAAGAATGGAGAAGGGGTTGCAGCATATCCAGCCCCCCTGAGGGATGATCATTTCTCACTTTCCTCCCTCTCTCTCCAGCAAGCACATACACCCTATTGCAAAAAAAAAAAAAAAAAAAAAAAAAAAAGAAAAAAAAAAGAAAAAAGAGTAATTAACACTTGTTGATGAACAGGCCCTGTAGCAAAAAAATTTCCTTCGTAAAATCTGCAGGCAGATTGAATGTGGTGACTGAATTGTGTCAAGTTAGAGGGGACTGGTATACACAAGGATTTCCACATAACCATGTTAACAAAGTGAAAAAAATCAAGAATACCTAAACTGAAGGTGATCAACCACTAAACCTTCAGCAAAAACTGATAGACTCTAGGGGCCAGCCGGTGGCAAGGTGTTTAAAGGACTGGACTCCCAGAAGGTCGACAAGGGTTCAAGCCCTGACCCGGTGGACTTGAAAATCATGCCAGATATTTGTGCATGCATGCCCAAAATCCTGAGAGGAGAATGGAAGAAAAGGGACTGTAGTATGGTATCCCCCCACCACCCCGTGCATATGCCCTAGGGCAAAAACTAAAAAAGCTAACAGAATTTAAAACCTCTGAAATACACAACAGTGATCAACATACAATCAAAAACTACTAGACAAATGAGGTCAGCAGATGGTGTAGTAGTTCCGTGGCTGGACTCCCACATGGCCTACCATGGTTTGAATCCTGGACCTGTTGCCTTGAAACCCACACTGGGCACCTGTGCGTGCCTGTCCAAGATCCTAGGAGAATGGAGAAGGGATTGTGGTGTGTCCATCCCCTCTGGGGGGTGATTTCTCACTTTCCTTCTCACTGTCTCTGTCTCTCTCTCTGGCAAGTGCACATGCCTAAAGGCAAAAACCTCTAAAAATAAATTACTAGACAGAAACAGAAATGCTACACACCTACATTATACAGTACAGCTTACTGTTCCTAGGCTACAAATCTGTATAGCATGTTACTATACTAAGTACAGTAGCCAACTGTAACTCAATAGTATCTAAACATGTAAACTTAGAAAGGTATAGTAAAAATACAAAAGATTAGGGCCAGCTCCATGGTGGTTAGGAAGGTCTAGTGGTTATGGAAGCCAACTCTCACGTGGCCAATCGTGGTTTCAATCCTGGCCCCTGCAGCTAGAAAAACACGCTGAGAATGTGTGTATGCCCAAATTCCTGGAGCACTGGAGAATATGGGATTGTGATATTACCATTTCCTACAGGGATGTTTTCTCCCTCTCTTCTCTCTCTGGTGAACAAATGCGCATTCTGGCAAATTAAAAAAAAACAATCAAGCATATGAAAAAATAATGCAGTTGGGGCTAGCAGGTGGCACAAAGGTTAAGGTGGCTGAATCCCACATGGTCAAACGCATGGTTTGAGCCCTGGACTCAGCAGCTTGAGAATGACATCAGGTATGCATGTGTGGGCCCAAAATCCCGAGGGAAGAATGGAGAAGGGGTTGCAGCATATCCAGCCCCCCTGAGGGATGATCATTTCTCACTTTCCTCCCTCTCTCTCCAGCAAGCACATACACCCTATTGCAAAAAAAAAAAAAAGAAAAAGAAAAAAAAAAGGAAAATGATGTAATCAACTCAGCAAAAACAAGATGTATAAAGAGGGGTCTTCAAAAAGTTCTTGGAAAATGTGCACCATGAAAAAATGGCATGGGTTTAAACTTATAAATAAACTGTACTTAAAAAAAAAAGTGCATATATAGGTATATTATTTATAAGACATATCTATCATTTATGATAAAGTGCATGTACAGACACGTAAGACCAAGAAAGAGGAGAACACCCTCCACAGGGTCCAGTCATGCCACGATCCCTCTTCCACCAGTTCTAGCTTACTGGATCTTAGGCACTCATGCATGTGCCTGGCATGTTTTAGAATGAATGGGCTGGAGATGTGAACCATGGTCGCTGTGTGAGATCTGGCTTCTCTTGAGCAACACATTATTGCTGTGCCATGGAGCTGGCCCTAAACTTGGGACAATTCCATTTTTGCATAATCTTTGTCACGTCCCCTTGTTTGAAGCTGCTGCCAGCATAACATAGCATACTGTTTTACAACAAGCTTTTATTATTTTAGAGTATACTCTAAAGTGATAAAAAGTATAGTACAGTAAATACATAAACCAACAACAGTCATTTACTGTCAAGTATTGTGTATTGTACATAATACTATGTGCTGTACTTTTATAACACTGGCAACATAGTAGACTTGTTTACACCATCATCAGCACAAATACATGAGTAATGTGTTGCACTGTGACACTATGACGTTACAATGACTAAAACATCAGTAGGCGGTAGGAATTTTTTATCTCCATTAAAATCTTGGGGACCATTGTCATATATGTGGTCCATCATTGAACAAGATGTCATTATGCAGTACTTGAGTGTATAAAATTATTGCTAACCTCTTACTAAAGACTTTGGAGGCCAGAGGTTATTTGAAAAGTAAAAAACAGAAACTCATATGATCCAACAATCTGACTTTCTGAGTATTATCCAAAATAGTTGAAATTAAGATTTCAAAGAGGTATTAGCACTCCCATGTTCACCCATATTCAGGGTAAATATTGTGTTCTTGCCACAGTAAAACCAAACCAAAAAAAAAAAAAAAAGGCAAAAACAATGGAAGCTGTAAGAAAATGAAATGCCGTCATAACTTTCAAAGCAAGAACCAGCCAGTGGTAAAATGCAGTGCTTTGCAAGACAAACCCACAGAGGAAGGTCCAAGTTCACATGCAGAGACCTCGTTGAGCACACTGGGCACATGTGTGCCATGATCTGGGACTGCCCAAAGTTGGGAGTGGAGTGCAGTGATGAAAACTCATTGGGGGCACCTTATCTCTTGTTCACGGAAGAAATAAATAAAAAGAAAAACACAACTTTCAAAGAAGTATTCTATAGCTTACAAAAAACCCTTCTAAAGTGACAAATGAAACACAGGTTCATATAAATAAAAGTCAGCAGATCTGTACTACAAAAAATGCTTCTAGTTTCCACTCCAGTATGTGAAGAGCTTACAAGTCAGCACTCCTATCCTTAGAACAATTAACAAAAAATCTGAACAAACCAAAAACAAGCAAATCTTCTTAGATGCATTAGAGAATTGAAATCACAGGGCAAACTGCTGCCCTAAAAACAAGAGCAAAATCAAAATCAACAACAACCAAAAACCTCAACAACAGTAAAACCCAAAAAACCCTGGAACATACGTGATTACAAAATAAGTAGAAATATAATTGGTTATCTCACATTTTGTTATCAAAATGACAGATATGGCACATAAAATGAATCATAAAGCTCAGTTATTAATTTTATTTATTTATTGGAGAGATTTTTGGTATAGGTCACGTGCACTCACAAGAGAGAGACGGAGAGACAGAAAGCAAGAAATCACCCCCCAGGAAAGATGGCCATGCTGCAATCACTTCTTCATTCTCCTCTTGGGATTTTCTGGCATGTGTGCACATGCACCTGTCATAAATTTAAGCCACCAGGTCCAGGACTTGAACCATGGACAACAACATGGGAGTCCAGCGACATAACCATTACACCATCAGGCTGGTCCTATCAGTTATCTTTGTTTAAGAATTATTTTATTAAACTTTATTTATTATTATTATTATCATTCTTTAATCTGATCAAAGACAAAGAGAGAGAGAAGGAAAGTGAGAAAGTAAGCTGCCAGGTCTGGGACTCGAACCACAGCCAGCCACATGGGAGTCCAGCACCCCTAAACACCATGCCACCTGCTGGTCCTAAGCTCAGGTTTTCTTTCCTTTTTAATTGTTTTTAAGAATTATTTAGTTATTATTATTTTTTTAAATTTGCTATAGGGTATGTGTACTCACTGGGGGGGGGGAGAGGGGGGAGAGGGGGGAGAGAGAGAGAGAGAGAGAAAACAAGCCTGTCAGGTCTAGGACTTGAAACGTGGTCAGCCATGTGGGAGTCCAGCACCTTAACTACCATGCCACCTACTGGCTCCCAAGCTTAGTTATTTATTTATTTATTTGGAGAGTTTTTTGCTATAAGATGCATATGCTCACCAGAAAGACAGAGAGAGACAGAGAGACAGAAAGCAAGAAATCACCCCCTGGGGAGATGGCCATGCCACAGTCCCTTCTCCTCCATTTTCCTCTCATGATCTCGGGCATGCACGCACACGTGCCCAGCATGAGTTTAAGCCAGCAGGTCCAGGACTCAAACTGTGGGCAACTACATGGAGAGTCCAGCGACATAGCCATTACACCAACTGCTGGTCCCCCAAGCTTAGTTATCTTTAATAGGTGTTAATTGACATAATGGATCTAGACAGGAGTTTACAATCACTGCTTCTATTAGGAGTCCTAGTCAATAATCAAGATAAATGATAAGGACTGAAGGAAAAAACAAATTACCATAAATATAAGTTATTAGCTATATAAGAACAACTCAAAGTATATACATATAAGCTATTATACAAATACTTCTTAAATAAGATCCCGAAAGCACAGGCAATAATCCCAAAAATAGACAAGTGGGAATACATCAAGTTAAAAAGCTTCTGCATAGCAAAAGAAACAATAACTAGAGTGAAGAGATAACCCTTGGAGTGAGAGAATATATTGGCAAACTCTCCTTCAAAAAAGGATTGAAAACCAAACTCAAGCAACTTACCTGCAAAAAAATATTCAATACAATTAAAGGTGGGCAAATAAGCTGAATAGACAACTTTCTAAGGAAGACATATGAATAGTCAAAAAGCATATGAAAAAAAATTCAATATCCCTTATCATAGGGAGATGTAAATCGAAACTACAATGAGATACCAACTAACCCCTCAGAATGGCTAAGATTAAAAAAATGAAGAATGTAAAGTGTTAGTGAGGCAGCAGGGAAAAAGGAATATTAGTTAGTTACAGACACTCTAGAGAATAATATGGACCTATAAATATTACTAACAACGATCCAGCTATTCCACTCCTGAGTATCTACCCAAAGAAGAGGAATATGCTCAGTTGGTAAAAACACTTGCACATCCATGTTTATTGGAGTATTATTCACAATTGCTAAGACATGGAATCAACCCAAATGTCCAAGAACAGATGAATGGACTGAAAAAGTGTGGCACATATACACTATGAAATACTACTCAGTTATAAAAAAACAGTGAGGCCCTGGCATTTGATAGAACATGGACAAATATGAAAGATTTAATGTGAAGCAAGCCAGACTATGAAAGAAAGGCACTGTATGTTCCCACTTAATATATACTGAATGTATGCACTCTATATCAAAAACCGAAAGATTGGAAGGTTATAAAAGCAAGGGAAAGGGCTGGCAGGTAGTGGGATAGTTAAGGCACTGGTCTCCCACATGTCTGACTACAGCTTGAGTCCCAGACCTCGTAGCTTGCTTTCTATTTTTCCTCTTTCTCTCTATCTAGTTAGTGCATGTGCCCTATAGCAAATTTTTTAAAAAAAATTAATAATAATAATAAATAAGATTAAATAAATTACTATTTTTAAAAGTTAAATAACAGTTTAGTGAGCGAATCTGTGGCACGGTGGTTAAGCAGCTGGATCCTAAGTGACTAACTGTGCAGTACCTGTCCTGGACCTATCGGCTTGAAAAACATGCCAGGTATGTGCTTATGTGTATGGGGGTGGATGAGTGTGTCCAAGGTCCTGAAAGGAAGCAGAAATGGAGGAGAAAGGATTGCAACATGACTATTCCCTATGAAAGGTGCTTTCTCATTGTGTGCTCTCTCTTGTGCGCTCACTCTCTCTCTCTGTCAGAGAGACCTGGCCAGCACAAATGTCCTCTAGCAAATTAAACAATAAATTAAGGGAACCAGCAGTTGACACGGTGGTTGGGGTGCTGGACTCCCTCATGCCAACTATAGCTTGAGTCCCAGACCTAGGCTTGTTTTCTCTCTCTCTCTCTCTCTCTCTCTCTCTCTGGTGAGTACATATGCCCTATAGAAAATTTTTTTTAAAATGATAAAAATAAATAAAGTTATTTTTTAAAAGATAATATAAAATTGAGGATTATTACCATATATAAACTATGTAACTATAATTAGAAAAAACACATCCATTAGAAAAATGGACAAAAAATGTGAACAGATATTTCACAGAAGTAATATGTATGTCCAATAAACATCAATAAGATACTCTTATCAGTAATTAGGGATATGCTGATTATGACCATACTCAGATACAATTTCCATATTAACACACTTAAGCAGTGTCATAATACATTTAGAGACTATGTAGACCAATGGGAAATCTTATATACGTTAGCATAAATTGGTACAATTACTTTGGGAAACAACTTAGCAATATCTTATGAAGTTGCACTTCCGAATATGTATTTTAGAGGATCTTTTGGACATGTGTCCAGTGTCCACAAACAAAAACGAGAATGCTACTAGCATCACTGTTTGGAACAGCAAGAAACAATCTAGAAGTTCATCATCAGGAGATAGATAAATTATCAGACATTCACAAAATAAAGTATTTAACAGTACTGAAAATAAATAAACCATAGTTATAGGCAATAATAGGCATACATTTTAGAAACATAATGTGCATGAAAAAATAAATTCCTCATATGACTATGTAAAGAATAATGCCACTTTTTTTTTTTTTCTTAATTTACTATAGGATACACGTACTCACTGGAAAGAGACGGAGAGAATGAGAGTGAAAAAGTAACCTCTCAGGAGGATGACCACATCCCAATCTCTTCTATTCTATCCTGCTCTTGGGATTTGGGGCATGCACACAGACACACATATGTGCCTGCTGTGTTTTTCAAGCCACCAGGTCTAGGACTCAAACCATGCTGTTGGCTATGTAGGATCCAGCTGCCCTAACCACTTTTGGCTGGCCCAAATGATGGCTGGCCCAAATGATGCCACTTTTCTAAATCTCCTAAATAAACATAAATAAATGATATATTGTACAGGCATATTTATATACAAAGTTAAAAAAAAAAGGCAAGAGAATAATGAACACAGTATTCAGTCTAGTAGCTAATTCTTAAGGAGAGGAGGCATAAGTTGACCCAAATATTTGTCATATTCTAGTTCTTGGGCTGTGTCATTTCACCTAAGTTTATGGTACTGTGTTTTATAACTTACAGATTTTTTTTTTTTTGCTAAGTATCAAATACATTTTTAAAATATTATGGAAAAACAACTTTACCTTAAAACAACCTTAAAGATGAAAGTCATACCTTCAACTATACTGGACTTCGCAAGAAATCCTGAAGATGTTTTTAGAGCTCCATTGAATACTACAAAACTTGCACCTGTCACTGATAAAGAAATACAACAATTAATTATGTTTTAACCTGTTTGTTTTTACATTTTTGTTTAATTTGATAGAAGGAATGTGTGATCACGGGGGAAGGCGGGGGAGAAGGAGAAAGCATCTCCAAATGGGGCACCACACTCCTTCATTTTTCCATCCCTTTAGAATTTGGGGCATGCACACACATTCACCTGATGTGTTTTTCAAGCCTGGTGAGCGCACACACCAGGGCTGAGATTTGAGCCATGCCACATGGGATCCGGCTTCTGTAACTATGGCCTTCATTTTTATGCTACATTGTATTTGTTAAATGTAGAATGTAAAGCATGGACATATTTTTTTAATTGCCAGAGGGTTCATGTGCTTGCCAGAGAGAGACAAAGGTTTGAGAAAGACTGCTCAATGACGCGCGGTCACACTGTAATCCCTTCTCCTTCACTCCATCCGATTCGGATTTGGGGCACACATATACATGTGCCCAACATCATTTTCAAGCTGCTAGAGACTAGGACTAGAACTATGGTTGGCCACATGGGCTCTGGTTCTCTTAATCATGGGGCTATAGGGCTGGCCGGAAAGCCATTTTAAGTACAGCAGTCTCCCCTTATCTGGAGTCCCCCTGTATCTTAAGTACATTCCACATCGTCCCCCATGGGGGGCAGGTAACTGAAACTGTGGATATTACCAAGCCCTATATATATTATGGTTTTGTGATTTGACAAGCAGGATAGCTACTAAGTGACTACAAGGCAGGTAGTATATACAGCAGGGATGTGAGGGACAAAGGGATGATTCGTGTCCCATATGGGACAGAATGGGTTGGTGCAGGATTTCTTCATGCTGCACAAAATGGTGCACAAATATATGAATTGCTAACTTCTGGGATTACTATTTAATATTGTCACACCATCACTGTTGAAACCACAGATAAAAGGAAACTAATATACTCAAAAAATGTTACACCTACATAATGTTCATTAGAAAGGTGATAAGAAAAACTCCCAAATACCATTAAGATAAAATGTTGCATAATAATCTGTGTTTAGTAACTGATGGAATAATGTACAATTTAAAATGTTTGTCTCTGTGTTAGTGAGGAGGTGGGTAATCAAGCATTCATTACTAGGGAGAACATAAACCAGAACAGTCCCCATGGAGCCCTTACTTGAGAATTATCTATTAAAATTTTAAATAAATGTATCCTTTGACACACTCATTCCATTTCTCTGAGTTTATTCCATAGATAAGTTCAAATGAGTACAAAATGGCATGTGTACAAGGTTATTTGCAGTATAAACAGCCAAGAATTGGTACCAACTTAGGTCCATCACTAAGGAACAGTTAAATGGCATACTCATAGAAATGTAAAGTTATTTGTGCAAAACTCTTTATAATATACCAACACAGAATAATGACCAAGGTGTGCAACAGCAACAACAAAGCAGGGCACAATTTGGAACAAATGCTCCAACTTGCCTAAAAAAGTGGAAGAAGGGGTCAGTAGGTGGCATGGCGGTTAAGAAAAATCATGCTAGGCCTACATGTGTGCATGCCCAAAATCACAGGAGAGTAGAGAAGGGATTATTGTGAGGCTATCCCCCGACAGGTAATTTGTCACTTTCCCTCTGTCTCCAGAGAGTGCACATGCCCTATGACAAAAAAAAAAAACTAAAAAAAAAAAAAAAAGTGAAAGAAAGGGATAAAAAGCAAAAATGTCTCTGAAATGTGCAAAACTCTTTATAATATACCAACACAGAATAATGACCAAGGTGTGCAACAGCAACAACAAAGCAGGGCACAATTTGGAACAAATGCTCCAACTTGCCTAAAAAAGTGGAAGAAGGGGTCAGTAGGTGGCATGGCGGTTAAGAAAAATCATGCTAGGCCTACATGTGTGCATGCCCAAAATCACAGGAGAGTAGAGAAGGGATTATTGTGAGGCTATCCCCCGACAGGTAATTTGTCACTTTCCCTCTGTCTCCAGAGAGTGCACATGCCCTATGACAAAAAAAAAACTAAACTAAAAAAAAAAAAAGTGTAAGAAAGGGATATAAAGCAAAAATGTCTCTGAAAGGAAATACAAGAAATTGGTAACACTGGCTTGACTGCCTAGAGGGAGGGTGAAAGGATGCAGGCATAACATTTTTTGAGTATAGTAGTCTCCTCTTATCTGTGGTTAGTCAAGGAAGGAAAAAAGATTTTTCAGTTTAAGTATTTATATCATCTTAATTTTACCATATATTCTTATTCAACAAATACTAAAGAATTGTCAACTTTAATAACCAAAATGTTACTGACATGTTACGTTAAAAAAAAACTAATATGAAAGTGTACATATCCAATAAAAAAGCTTCTATTTAACATATACATTAGTAGAAGAAGGAAATAGAGTAAAATCTCAATAATGGCCATAGCTTTTTTTTTTTTTTTTTTTTTTTTTTTTAAGAGGTTTTTGCTATAGGGCACGTGTGCTCGCCAGAAAGATAAAGAGACAGAGACAGAACGCGAGAAATCACCCCCCAGGGGGGATGGCCACACTGCAATCCCTTCTCCTCCATTCTCCTCTCGGGATCTTGGGCACGCACGCACACATATACGGCGTGAGTTTGAGCCACTGGGTCCAGGACTCGAACCATGGTCGACTACATGGGAGTTCAGTAACATAGCCATTACACTAACTGCTGGTCCCCGGCAATTTTTTCTTATACTGTCTTTAAAACATATTTTCCAGAACCAATAGATGGTGTAATAGTTAGGTCATTGGAATCCCATATAGTCAACCATGGTTTGAGTCCCAGACCCAGCAGTTTGAAACTCATGCCAGGTGTGTGTGCATGCATGCCCAAAATCCCAAGAGGAGAATGGAGGAGAAGGGATTGCAGTGTGGCCACCTCTCCCACTGGGGCAGGGTGGGGTGATTTCTCTCTGTCTCTCCAGCAAGTGCATGTACCCTTATAGCAAAAATCTCTCTAAACAGGGACTAGCAGTTGGCGTAATGGCTATGTCACTGGACTCCCAATGTAGTTGACCGTGGTTCGAGTCCTGGACACAGTAGCTTAAACTTACACCAGGTGCATGTACATAGTGCCCAAGATCCCGAGAGGAAAATGGAGGAGAAGGGATTGCAGCATGGCCATCCCAAGGGGCTGATTTTTCGCTGTCTGTCTCTTTGGTGAGTGCCATATAGCAAAAACCTCTCAAAAAGAAAAAAAAAAAATATCTGGGGACCAGCAGTTAGTGTAATGGCTATGTCACTGGACTTCCACGGAGTCGACCACTGTTCGAGTCCTGGACCTGGCAGCTTAAACTCACCCTGGGTACGTGTGCGTGCATGCCCAAGATCCCGAGAGGAGAAAGAAGGGATAGCGGCGTGGACATCCCCCCCGGGGGGTGATTTTTTGCTTTCTGCCTCTCTCTCTCTGTCTTTTAGGCGAGCACACGCACCATATAGCAATAAAACAAAAACAAAAACCTCTCCAGAAAAAGAAAAAAAAAATCTCTCTAAACAAACAAAAAAACCCCACATTTTCCAAGCTTACTACATATATATGCATAACTTTCAAAATCAGAAGGAAAAATTGTATTAGATGCCATAAGTTAAACTATTTTAAATATGCCCTCCTATAATAATGTATTAAGTTTATGGAATACTTTCTTCCTTTTTTCTTAAGAATTATTTATTTTTAATTTTATTTATTATTTATTTATTTATTTTAATTTGACCAGAGAGAGACACAGAGAGAGAGAGAGAGAAAGCAAGAAAACAAGTCACCAGGTCTGGGACTCAAACCATGGTCGATCATGTGGGAGCGTCTAATGCTTTAACCACAACACCACCTGCTAGTCCCCCTGGAATATTTCTATTATCTTTCAATTTGTCTACAAGGTGTCATAACTACAGCAGTCACTGATGCCATGCAACCTGAGCTGAGAGTAATGTCACTCAGATGCTGTTCACTTCATCATTTTTATCATTATATCCCCAATAACTTAAAAGTTTTTATTTTTATTTTTATTTATTTATTTTAATTTGACCAGAGAGAAAGAGAGAGAGGAAAAGGGAGAGGGAGGGAGGGAGGGAGAGAGGGAAGGAGGGAGGGAAGGAAAGAAAGAGAAATAGAGGGAAGAGAAAGAGAGGGAAGGAGAGAGAGCAAGCCACCAGGTCCAGGACTCAAACCCTGGTCAGTCATGTGGGAGTCCAGCGCCCTTAACTACCACGCCATCTGCTGGTCCCTACTTAAAAGTTTTATACATCATTCTTCATCATTATCCACCCTGTGCTCCCCCAATTAAGAGAACCTAGAATCAAGAGTAAAAAAATGAAAAATCTTGTTCAAGAAAGACAAAATTCAAAGTAAAATTCTACCCTACTTGATACACTAAACTTAAAGATATCAATAGAAACACAGTCTTCCAAGTTTTATTATTATTATTTTTTTGAAAGGTTTTTGCTATAGGGTGTTATGCGCTCACCAGAAAGAGAGACAGACAGAAAGACAGAAAGTGGGAAATCACCCCCCGGGGAGATGGCCACGCCACAATCCATTCTCCTACATTTTCCTCTTGGGATCTTGGGCATGAGTTTAAGCCGCCGGGTCTGGGACTCGAACCACAGTCAACTACATGGGAGTCCAGCAACATAGCCATTACGCCAACTGCTGGTCCCAGTCTTTCAAGATTTAAATCAAATATAACCCAAGAGAAAAACATAAACTGCAGGCAATTTTAAAATATGTCATTTGGGTGGGTGAAATTTTAAGGTTTACTGCATTATGACCATTTATTCAGGAAATAAGTGAAATATACGAGATCTTTCCCCTTTGAAAGGAATTCAACTAGCTGAGGCAGTTTTGTAACTTAGCACTAGGAACCATGACTCACCTTTTCTAGGATGGCCAGTGGCACTGTTGGCTTGTGTTTGATAAACTCCATCATTCTGTATGCAGACTAGATGAGAATCAGCTTCTGTACTAAAACTAGCTCCGATGCTAATAACATGCTCATTAGAAGAATTTATTACTTTCATGACCTGGTGAAAAAATATAACACTTGTTTAGAAACACTTTTAACATTTTCTGCCTATTCTAAAAGACTCACTCCTGACTACCTTCATAATCAAGTTTGGGTCTTGATAACTTCCTGGAAATATGACAGAAACCCATGTTTTAAAATAAAATCACCTGAGTTAATAGATAAAACATTAACGGAAAAAAATATTTAAAAATGGGACTAAGCAAACTCCTTATCAGTAAATTCTAAACAGAGGCTGGCAGGTGGCATGGTGATTAAGGTGCTGGATTGCCACATGGCCAACCATGGTTTGAATCCGAGAACCAGGCAGTTTGATCTCTCACTCCCCCATCCCCTATACCCCTATGTCTCTCTCTGGTGAACTTTTAAAAATAATAATAAAATTTTAAAAATTTCAAAAACTGGCAGGTGGCATGGTGGTTAAGGCACTGGACTCCCAAATAGGCAACTCTAGTTCAAGTCCCAGACCTGGCAGTTTGCTTTCTCATTTTCCCTTTATCTCTCTCTGTCTCTCTGTAGTCAAATTAAAAATAACAAATTTAAAAACTAAGTTAATAATTATTTTTTTAATTCCAAAAATAGTATTTGTTGTCATCATGTATTAGATAATCTAATTCAAAACCAAAAGTTTAATACGATACCATTCTAAGGAACTCTAATGTTCAATAATTGTCTTTAAAATATGAATCAACCTGGGGCTGGCAGGTGGCATGGTGGTTAAGGGAACTGGCCTCCCACATGGCCAACCACAGTTCAAGTCCCAGACCTGGCAGCTTGCTTTCTCACTTTCTCTCCCCACCCCTGTCAAATTAAAATAAGTAAATAAATATATAAATAGTTAAATAAAATAATTCTTCAAAAAAAATGCATCAAGCAATTATACTTACATCACTATATTTTTTCCGAGGTATCTTTATGCAGCTTTTTCCCATTTCCATTACTTAAAAGTTTTATACATCATTCTTCATCATTATCCACCCTGTGCTCCCCCAATTAAGAGAACCTAGAATCAAGAGTAAAAAAATGAAAAATCTTGTTCAAGAAAGACAAAATTCAAAGTAAAATTCTACCCTACTTGATACACTAAACTTAAAGATATCAATAGAAACACAGTCTTCCAAGTTTTATTATTATTATTTTTTTGAAAGGTTTTTGCTATAGGGTGTTATGCGCTCACCAGAAAGAGAGACAGACAGAAAGACAGAAAGTGGGAAATCACCCCCCGGGGAGATGGCCACGCCACAATCCATTCTCCTACATTTTCCTCTTGGGATCTTGGGCATGAGTTTAAGCCGCCGGGTCTGGGACTCGAACCACAGTCAACTACATGGGAGTCCAGCAACATAGCCATTACGCCAACTGCTGGTCCCAGTCTTTCAAGATTTAAATCAAATATAACCCAAGAGAAAAACATAAACTGCAGGCAATTTTAAAATATGTCATTTGGGTGGGTGAAATTTTAAGGTTTACTGCATTATGACCATTTATTCAGGAAATAAGTGAAATATACGAGATCTTTCCCCTTTGAAAGGAATTCAACTAGCTGAGGCAGTTTTGTAACTTAGCACTAGGAACCATGACTCACCTTTTCTAGGATGGCCAGTGGCACTGTTGGCTTGTGTTTGATAAACTCCATCATTCTGTATGCAGACTAGATGAGAATCAGCTTCTGTACTAAAACTAGCTCCGATGCTAATAACATGCTCATTAGAAGAATTTATTACTTTCATGACCTGGTGAAAAAATATAACACTTGTTTAGAAACACTTTTAACATTTTCTGCCTATTCTAAAAGACTCACTCCTGACTACCTTCATAATCAAGTTTGGGTCTTGATAACTTCCTGGAAATATGACAGAAACCCATGTTTTAAAATAAAATCACCTGAGTTAATAGATAAAACATTAACGGAAAAAAATATTTAAAAATGGGACTAAGCAAACTCCTTATCAGTAAATTCTAAACAGAGGCTGGCAGGTGGCATGGTGATTAAGGTGCTGGATTGCCACATGGCCAACCATGGTTTGAATCCGAGAACCAGGCAGTTTGATCTCTCACTCCCCCATCCCCTATACCCCTATGTCTCTCTCTGGTGAACTTTTAAAAATAATAATAAAATTTTAAAAATTTCAAAAACTGGCAGGTGGCATGGTGGTTAAGGCACTGGACTCCCAAATAGGCAACTCTAGTTCAAGTCCCAGACCTGGCAGTTTGCTTTCTCATTTTCCCTTTATCTCTCTCTGTCTCTCTGTAGTCAAATTAAAAATAACAAATTTAAAAACTAAGTTAATAATTATTTTTTTAATTCCAAAAATAGTATTTGTTGTCATCATGTATTAGATAATCTAATTCAAAACCAAAAGTTTAATACGATACCATTCTAAGGAACTCTAATGTTCAATAATTGTCTTTAAAATATGAATCAACCTGGGGCTGGCAGGTGGCATGGTGGTTAAGGGAACTGGCCTCCCACATGGCCAACCACAGTTCAAGTCCCAGACCTGGCAGCTTGCTTTCTCACTTTCTCTCCCCACCCCTGTCAAATTAAAATAAGTAAATAAATATATAAATAGTTAAATAAAATAATTCTTCAAAAAAAATGCATCAAGCAATTATACTTACATCACTATATTTTTTCCGAGGTATCTTTATGCAGCTTTTTCCCATTTCCATATGAATGAATAGCTGATCTATATTATGCAAAGTATACTGGTAATTTCGAAGGTCCTACATAAAATAATCACATTTCCATAAATCTTAAACTACTATTCATTAGCATTTACCCATTAAATCCTTTTTTAAGAGTAATCATTGGGCCAGCAAGTGGCATGGTGGTTAAGGACGCTGGACTCCCACATGGCCGACCATGGTTTGGGTCCTAGATCTGGCAATTTGCTTTCTCACTTTCTCTCTCTCTGCGCCTCTCAGGTCAAATTAAAAGATAAATAAATATAAATGAAAAAAAGAGTAATCACCATTTTGTTTTTGGTTTTGTTTTTTGTTTTTTCTTTTGAGAGATTTTTCACTATAGGGCGTGTGCACTCGCAAGAAAGAGACAGAGAGACAGAAAGCGAGAAATCACCCCCCAGAGGGGTCGGCCACACGGCAATCCCTTCTCCTCCATTCTCCTCTCAGGATCTTGGGCACGCATGCACACGCGCCCAGCGTGGGTTTTAAGCCACCGGGTCTGGGACGCAAACCGCGGTCAAGTACGTGGGAGTCCAGCGACATAGCCATTACGCTAACAGCTGGTTCCCTGCAATCACCATTTGATAACTATCAAAATGCCATCCAAAAAGCAGCTACCAATAAAAAAACAAAAACAAACAAACAAAAAAACTAATCCTTCCAGCTACTCCCAAACAGAAATAAAGAAAGCCATTCTCAGGAGTAATCTTGTAAGAGTTTTCAGAGTAGAAAAGATTTTCAGACCTAACACTGATAAATGAAAGTGAGTCCACTGAAATGCTTTATAATGGTAACAGAAAAACACCAAATTACAAAAATTTTAAGTGGAAGGGAACCTCAGATATTATCCAGACCAACCCTTCCTATTAGAAATGAAGAAGCTAAGCTCATAAATTGCTCAAAATCATAAGGCTGATTTTACACAAACTTTTTACTTCAACAATCTTAGAGGTCTGTGAAGAGCTCTCACTTTACCTAAATAGTAAGAACTAAAGCAGAATAAATAGGAAGGCAATTAGAATCAGGTACACATAGATTAGGAGACATTATGTTTTCAAAAAAACAATTCATCAAAGCCAATTTATGTTGGGACCAGCAGGTGGTGTGGTGGTTAAGGCGCTGGACACTCCCATGTGACTGACCACGGTTCAAGTCCTGGACCTGGTGGCTTGCTTTCTCACTTTCCCTCTCTCTGTCTATGTCTGTCTCTGATCAAATTAAAATAAATGAAGTGAATGAATAAAAATAATTTAAAAAAAGAATTATTTAAATTAAAAAAAGCCAATTTATGTTAAACCAATTAGGATTTATTAAAAATTTTTTTAAGATTTATTTTTTATTTCATTTTATTCACTGTCTTTTTTTTTTTTTGAGAGGTTTTTGCTATAGGGCATGTGCACTCACCGGAAAGACAGAGAGAGTCAGAGAGACAGAAAGCGAGAAATCGCCCCCCCAGGAAGGATGGCAACGCCGCAATCCCTTCTCCTCCATTCTCCTCTCGGGATCTTGGGCACGCACGCACACGTGCCCGATGTGAGTTTAAGAGAGTTCAGCGACATAGCCATTACCCACTGTCATTATTTTTTATTTTTTATTTTTTTGAAGTTGACCAGAGAGAGAGAAGGAAAATGCAAAGCAAGCTGCTAGGTCCAGGACTTGACATGTGGGAGTCTACCACCTTAACCACCATGCCACCTGCCCCTCAATTAGGATTCATTATAAATGAACTGTCATTGTAACAAGTATGCCAAATTAAAACAGGAAAATATAAATGTGTGAGATGTGCTAAATAAAATTTTAAAGTAACTAGTATAAGAACACATAATAAAATACTTGTTACTCACAACAAGTAAGTTCATAATGGTATGTCCTATTTCTCCAAAAAGAGGTTTTCGGCCTCTGATACTTGTTAGAGGAGCAGGATATGCTATATAGACCAAAGAAAAACTAGTTACTATCAACAAAAACTCAAAAAAATTAACATTACCCTATTGTAAATATACTATTGATAGATGTTACAATGAACTGAAAACTTACATTATCTTACTAAACCCTAAGTGAGAACTTTACATTTATTATCTTAGTAAGCCCTAAATGTGTCTGTATTTATTTTATAGATGAGAAAGTTAAGACATAGAGATTAAGAAACTTGTTTATGGTAACTAACTTGATAACTAGTGAAACAGATTTGAAATTAAGCTTGCCTGATTTCAAAGAATTTAATCTTTCCATTATACATGTTGTTTTATAAAATTATGTGGGGTGTATAATTAAAATAATTGGTTATACCTCTATAAAATTATGATAATTTAAAGACTTATGAGAAAAAAAGAGAGAGTTACAAATTAAAGATATTCTTAAAAATTGCCAGAGGGCCTATGTGTTTTCCAAGGAAGACAGAAAAAGAGGGAGAAGGGAGAAAGCATAACAATTGTGGTCATACCACAATCCCTTCTCCTTTCTTCACAGTTAGGATTTTGGGCACATATACACATGCCCAACATGTTTTTCTAGCTGCTGTGGTTAAGATTCGAACCTGCAATCATATGGAATCCAACTCCCTTAACCAGTAGACCATGAGGCCAGCTCAGAAATTAAGGACTCTTGGGAAATTAACAAGTAGTATTCAATTGTGTTTATTTATGGTAGTAAACTTTTTTAAAAAGAATAATTTTATTTAACTTTATTTATTTAAATTTGACTAAGGGACGGAGAGAGAGAGAAAAAATAAGAAAACAAGTTACCAGGTCCAGGACTTGAACAGTTGACCATCTGGGAGTCCAGCACCCTTAACCACCATGCTACCTGCCGGCCCCTATGGTAGGTAGTAAACTTTTATAGGGTAGTAATAAACTTTTATAGTTCTTGGGTGAGCATATATAGAGTATATAGAGTCAGAGAAAGGAATGTAAAAAAGAGGAAGAACATTGTATCTGCCACCTAAATACTTTCTCTTTCTTTAGGGTATCATAAATACAGGACACCAAAACAGAGGATAACTTTCTGACAATGCAAGAGACACTGACAGAAAATGAAGGTAAAAAAAAGGAAGGCAAGGGCCAGCCACTGGCTTGGTGTCTAGGGTGGCTGTATCACACCTGGGCAACTGCATGGTTTGAGTCCCAGACCCAGCAGCATCAAGAACACACAGAGCATGTGCACATACATGCCCAAAATCCTGAGAGGAAAATGAAAGACAAGAAATTGTAGTGTTGGGACCATCAGATGGCATAATCGTACATCACTGGACAGCCATGTAGTCAATCACTGTTCAAGTCCTGGACCCAGTGGCTTTAAATTCATACTGGGCACATGTGCATGCATGCCCAAAATCCTGAGGGGAGAAGGATTGCAGTGTGGCCACCTCTCTAGGGGCTGATTTCACTTTCTGTCTCTCTGGCAAGCGCACGTACCTGATAGCAAAAATCTCTCAAGAAAAACTATTGTGGTGTGGCTATTCCTCTCCCAAACCCTACCAGGGATGATTTCTCACTTCCTTCCCCTTAATTGGCAAGCACACCTGCTTCATAGCAAAACTAAAAAAAAAAATTAAAAAGAGGGAAAGTCAGACTATTTCTAAAATGATAAAAAGCAGATAATTAAAAAACCTTCAATTCTTGGGGCCAGCAGGTGGCATGGTGGTTAAAGGCGAAGGATTCCCACATGGCCAACCACAGTTCAAGACCTGGACCCAGCGTCTTGCTTTCCCTTTCTTGCTGGTCAAATTAAAAATAATAATATTGACAAATGGAATTAAATAGATAATTCTTTTTAAAAATCTTTAACTCTCATCTTCAGTCATAGCAAACTAACCTCTCTAATATATATTACACAAATGTACTTCTTTAAAATTCTAAGAAAATTGGAGCTGGCAGGTGACATAGTGGTTAAGGGCATTGGACTCCAACATGGCTGACCATGGTTCATGCCCCAGACCTGGCAGCTTGCTTTCTCACTTACTTTCTCAAAAAATAAATAAAATTCTACAAAAGTATCATCACATTCTTGACATTTTTAAAAATATTTATTTAACTTTATCTATTATTACTACTATTATTATTATTTAATTTGCTACAAGGCATGTACACTCATAAGAGAAAGAGAGAAAGTAAGAAAGCAAGCTGCCAGGTCTAGGACTCAAATCACAGTCAGCCATGTGGGAGTCCAGCAACTTAACCACCATGCCACCTGCTAACCCCAATGTTATCTAAAGACTTAGGTCACAGTAATCACATCCTTGCCAATGCAAGTGCAAGGCTTAAAAATCATTCCACATGTGTGTGTGCATACCCAATATCCCAAGAGAAGAATGAAGGAGAAGGGACGCACTGTGGCCATCCCCCATAGGAGGTGATTTCTCACTTTCCCTCTCACTGTTTCTCTCTCTGACTCTCTCTGACAAGTACACACACCCTGTGCAAAAACCTAAAAAAAAAAGTAAGGTAAAAAAGAAATAACCATATACGTAAACCTGGACCATCACAACAGCTTTAGAATCTCCGGTTGTGTCTAGGATACATAATGTAACACACACACTGGCATCAGCAGATAGCGTGGTGGTTAAGGCGCTGACTCCCATGTGGCCGGCCGCAGTTCAAGTCCTGGATTCAGTGGCTTGAAACTCACACCAGGCAAATGTCCATGCATGCCCAAAATCCTGCGAAGAGATTTTGTAGCTAGATGTTCATAAATTATTATTTATGTTTTAGAAGAGAAGGGGTTATGGCATGGCCATACTCCTGATAGATAATTTCTCGCTTTCTGTGTCTGTCTGGTGAGCACACACACCCTATAGCAAAAATCCCCCCCCCCCGCCACCAAAAAAAGGCACACACACAAACACACAAAGAATCTACATTAGTTCTAAATGATAAACTAAACATCAGGAGTATAAAAATTTTAAAAAGGGATCCTCCACCCCACCCCTACTCATCTCTGAACTTCAGATCCTTACCAGAGCTTCTACCTCTGCCTCTACCCTCAAGTACTGTGCATCCCCTGCTTTATGGGTTGGGTAAGGCTAAGTCTTCAAAACTCAGCTGCACCATCATCTTTTCTGAGACAGCTTCCTGTCCCGTCACTTCACAGTCCCCAGTGTTCTGCTAGATATTCCCGTGGGGGTGTGGGTGTGGGTGTGCGCACACGCATGCATGCATGTTTTAGACAGGGTCTCACTATATTGTGATCCTCTTACTTTGGTGTCCTGAGTAGCTGGGCCTACACATGTGTGCCACTACACTACTTGGGCTTTTAGTGTGGCTGAGAATTAAACACAGGCTTCAATTCTAATATATGCCCAAGGCCCCAGAGATGAGAATGGAGAATGAGACTGCAACATGGCTTTCCCTCCTGGGGGACAAACTTTCTGTTTGTCTCTTTGGTGAGTGCATGCACCCTATAATAAATATCTTTCTAAAAAAAAATACAATAAAATAAAACGGAGTAGAATTCTGGGAAAAACAAAGTGGTACAATGTAGAGATGTACAACTGTTAATGAAATCCCCAAAATACAATGATCCAAAGTTAACTTTGGAAGACTACACAGATTGAAATAGTTAAAAGTATTTTTAATAAACAATAAATAAATACATAAAAAATGAAGTAGAATTAGTCACTTTTTGTCCATCCTAGAAATTGAGTGGCTTGCTTTCCTATGTCCCAGATCCCATTGCTTATTTTAGGAAAAGTAAAAGTAAAATTTATGTAAAATGTGTTTTTTCAAAAAAAAAAAAAAGGAACTTTAAAAAAATGACCACCACTATTTTTTAAAGAATTATTTAGGGACCAGCAGTTAGCATAATGGCTATATCGCTGGACTCCCATGTAGTTGACTGCGGTTTGAGTCCTGGACCCAGTGGCTTAAACTCATGCTGGGCACATGTGCGTATGTATCTAAGATCCCAAGAAGAGAATGGAGGAGAAGGGATTGCAGTGTGGTCATCCCCCTGGGCGGGGGGTAATTTCTCACTTTCTGTCTGTCTCTTTCTTTCTGGAGAACACAAACACCCTATAGCAAAAACCTCTCCAAGAAAAAAAAAAAAGAATTATTTAATTTTGTTTATTCATTCATTTATTTTAATTTTATCAGAGAGAGACACAGAGAGGGAAAATGAGAAAGCAAGCCACCAGATCCAGGACTTGAACCATGGTTGGCCATGTGAGAGTACCCAGTACCTTAACCACCATGCCACCTGCTGGTCCTGACCACCACTAATTTTAAGTACTTTTCCTAAAAATAGTTTATTCTTGATTAGAGTCAACAATAGCAATGATAATCCAAAAACTGCTTTAAGATGGAGACAAATCCAAATGGGCAAAAATTTACCTTAATACATAGGCAACATAACAAACTCCCCACAGTACATGCTTTTTAGAAACCTTTAGCAAAATTAACACTCTCAAAGTTTTCTGTTTTGTTCTCAAATTTTAAAAATTTACAGTTAATACAATAACTTATGAGGCTGGCCCCACAGCACAGCTATTAAGCCCTGTCCATAGGGATTCAAGTCTCATGTGGCCACCCACAGTTCTAGTCCTGACTCCTGTGGCTTGAAAAACACTATGGGCATGTGTAAATGTGTGCCCCAAATCCTGACCAACTGAAGACTGCAGGGTAATCACACTCCACGGAGGGATGCTTCCTCCCACCCATCCCAATGAGCACATGTGCTCTCTGGCAAAAAAATTAAGTAGTAATTTATGAACATCTAGATACTACATGTCATACCAAGGTTGTCTCGACTAATGGTAGTAGAAGAGGGCTGTTTGGAGTTTAAAATTTCTACATCAAAATAAAAGTAGTTTTAATAACCCATTAAAAATTGATTTTAATAATTTCTCTAAAATTATTTGATATTTAGTATATTGGAAAATATGTCATTGAACCTTTTATTTTAAAACTTACCTTTATATTCTGCACCCAGTCTCAACATTAAGCGCATAGGAAAGACCTTGGCCCAGGGAATCTCCAGCTTCTGGATCAGAATTCCACAAAGAAAAGGGCTATTTGGTAATGGGAGATCATCGAGTTTTTGAAAAGTAGGTGTAATAAACAGGAATCCTCCATGATCTTTGCTATTGAGAAAACTCTCAGTGAAGGTAATATTGTCCAAGTTTTCTATGAATTTACCTGAAAATAAAGTCATTAATAAAAAGATTTTAAGTTGTTTTGAAGAAACATTCTGAATTTGACTGTCCTAATATAAACTTTCTTAAGCAAAGGCAACATAGAATTTTTTTCTACTCTTTAAGAAGCATCTATTAAATATGTGTATGCACAAAACTCAGTTACTTCTGGAGACTGAGGATTGTGAACAAAAATTTTTAAATGTTTCCAACCACAGAAGCCTTTACGTTTTCCTCCTTATTGCATGGTCAAGTAAAAGTTTTTCCAAGTCCCCTAATCTTGTATGAACTGTAAGAAAAAAAAAAAAAATCAAGGGGCTGGCAGTTAAGGTGCTGGACTACCAAATGTCCAACCACAGTTCAAGTCCTGGACCTGGCGGCTTGCTTTCTCTGTCTCTAGTCAAGTTAATAATAATAACAAATAAAATTTTTAAAATTATTCTTAAAAAAAAAATTGAGACGATATATTTTCTATTTTTTTAGTAAAAAAAAATCTGTATACAGACACTAATCACATAAGCTCCAAGATTTATGAAAACTGAAAATAATGATTCAGGTCTCTTAAGAAATCAGCAATCTCTTCACAAAATAAGTCTTTAGTGCAGAAAACAAAGCTGAAAGCATAAATGCCTTTAATTAATTTATCTACCTCCTAGTCTGAATATTTCGAAATAAAATGCTATACCTTTTACAGCATCCTTATATACGGTGACAAACAGTCTGAAGATGTCCTTAGGAATAGTATCTTCATTTGGCAAACATAGTAAGAGAATAATAATTTCTGCTTGTCCCAAGCCATGCAATCCATTGGTTGAGAAGTACCAATATTTATCTGATGAATCTTAAGTGATAAAAGCATACAACTATCAATGTCAACATCTATTAACCAAAAAAAGTAAAAATAAAAAACACAACTTTTCATATTTCTTATTTCCCCAAAGTTTTTCTCATAAAATCTTTAAATTGTCTAAGGTTTATGTGAAAAAAGAAGAAAAAAAAAGAGACCATATTCTAGAGTCAATAAAGAACACTAAAACAGGGCCAGCTCCACATCCTACTGGCTAAGGGAGCCAGATTCACGGCCTACTATGCAGTTCACATCCTAGCTGCAGTGGCTTGAAAAACATACGGGAGGCATGTGCATATATGGAGAAACAGAGAGGAAGAGAGGACTGTACTGTGACCAAGCTCCACTGGGGGTGCTTTCTCCCTCTTCTCTCTGTAGCAAGTGCACACACTTTCTGACAATTAAAAAATAAATAACACTAAAATAAACAATGCATTAGTGTGTTGAAATGTAGTAGGTAGGATTAGATTAGTTTCAAAGAGAATAAAAACTTAATAAATGAATTATTAAGTAGTGAGGATCATTTATTTTTTAAGAGAGACTTCTGCTATAGGGTACATACACTTGGCAGAGAGACAGACAGAAAGTCAGAAATCATTCCCCTGGGGGCAATGACCACACTAAAATCTCTCCTTTTCCATTCTCCTCTTGGGATTTTGGGCACACGTGCACACGTGCCCGTCATGAATTTTAAGATACCAAGTCCAGAACTTGAACAGCAGTCAACTATATGGGAGTCCAGCAACATAACCATTACACTATCTGCTGGTCCCAAGGTTCATTTATTATTAAGGATTATTTACTTCCTCAGTTTTAATTAGATCACATATCATTCACTTTAAAACTGTCTTTATTGTTTTCTACTTTTATTTTATTTATTATTCATTTATTTATTTATTCTTAAGGTTTTTGCCATAGTGCATGTGCAACAGCTGGAAAGAGAAAAAAAGCAAGATGGTGAGAGGCAAAGTGAGAAATCACTCTGTGAGGAAGGATGGCCACACTGCAATCCCTTCTCCTCCATTATCATTTTGGGATTTGGGGCATGTGTGTGCACAAATCTAGCATGACCTTCAAGCTGACAAGGCCAACTGCAGAGGGCCATATGGGAATCCAGCACCTTAATCACTACACCACCTTTTGGCCCCAAAACTGTCTACTTTTACTAGTTCAGGATTCCGCCTTGTGCCAATTACCAAATTTCAATATAACAAAGCTGTAGAACATAGAATTATTTCTACAAGCATGAAAATACAGCTCAGCTATGGGGTCAACAGATGGCATGGAGATTAAGACCACTGGATCCCACATAGCTGACAGTACTGTTGGGAGTCCTACATCCGCCAGCTTGAAAAACATGCCAGGTATATGTTCATACATGCCCAAACTCCCAAGAGGAGAATGGAGGAGAAGGGATTGTGGTATGGCCATCACCCTAGGAGATGCTTTTGCACTTTCCTTGGTCTCTGTCCTGGTCTCTGGGAAGTGCACATGCCCCATAGGAGAAAAAACCACCTTAGCTATGAGCTCATGACCTTAATGTAGGACCGACTGAGAGAGAACAGTGAAAATGTATAGTCATATCCAAAAAACCAATAGTCAACACTGCTTATTTTTCCCCATTGACAGTAAAATCTAACCTGAACATGTAATTACTTCAAGAACCACTTGGTAACCAACTGCTTACCAATTAAGCAAAGAAAAATGAATCATTACTTACAAAATACCAATTTGACATTCACGAGTAGATTAGCATTTAGGACAAACGTAACAGGATGAAACCCTTCGCCTTCAAGAAGCAAAATGATCTTCTCATGAGATGGGTATTCTTCTACCACAGGCACTGAACAGTGAAGGTAACATATTACTCAGTATAAATATCATGTTAAAAATGCTTAGGAGGAGGCAAAAACAAAGATATAAATCTGCCAATGGCTTAATCAATTTTAAAAACAAAAGCAAACATATTTCATAAAATCAATGAACACCCCAGAAAAGTGTTACATACTAATTTTTTAATTAATTTTAATTATTTATACATTTAATTGCTAAACATCATTTAGATAGTAAAGAGACTTTATCCAGCGTGACACACACCTCAGTCCTGTTACATACTAATTTTACTTTTCTATCCACATAGTTAATAATACTATAATACATATAAATCCCATTATATTATGTATCATATGTATTATATACACAAAAATAAGTTGATCATATAGCATACTTATACTATTTTAATGCCTTCAAAGTTTTAAAGCACCTGTAAAGTGGGGGGTCAGCAGATGGCCTAGTGGTTACGTTGCTGGACGCCCACATGGCTGACCACCATTGGGGTCGCAACCCGGTGGCTTGAAACTCAGGCCAGGCATGTGTGCATGTGTACCCAAGATCCCAGGAGGATAATGGAGAAGAGGGGATTGCAGTATGGGCCATCCTCACTGGGATTTTTCACTTTGCCTCTCACTGTCTCTGTCTCTCTCTCTCCAACAAGCTCACTCGCCTTATGGCAAAAACCTCTAAAAAAGAAAAAAAAAAATTTGTAAAGTGGATTCCAGTTTTCCAGTCACTCCGGTTATAATTTCTGAAATTTATAAGTCTGCGAAAGTAGTCTAGACCCAAGTTATATATGCTACTTGCTGCTATATACCTTTTATCAGTGACAAGTAGCAAAGAAAAAATCTTGACACAAAATGGGAAAATATGCATGGCATGCAAAGAACAAGGCTTAATGTATTTCTGCTACTATAGCAAGTTCATAAAACAACTCGTACTAACAGAGGAGAGATCCTAAGACTCACTCCCCTACATTATTACATAGAGAACTATACTTCATGTTGTGAGATGCAAGATAATGCCTGGGGTGATAAATGTCTGTCCTAGGGAACCATTCTAAGCAGGGAGCTGGCCACGGAATCTCCAGCTTAAAAAGGACCTTAAAAGTCATCTAGGTTCTCAGGGCTAGCAGGTGGTGTGGTGGCTAAGACATCGGACACCTCCACATGGTCTACCATGGTTTGAGTTCCGGACCTGGTAGCTTGCTTTCTCACTTTTCCTCTCTCTCTCTGTGTGTGTGTGTGTTTGTCAGGTAAAATTAAATAAAATAATAATTTTTTTTAAAGTATGAAAAAATGAAGTCATCTAGGTTCTCTTCTATTACCAAAAAACCCCCACTAAGAACCAACATTAAATAATATGCTTCAAGTCACACACGTAATAAAGTAGCAGCAGAAAAACTATAATTTCTAGCATTACCATCCAACCTAATACTTTTTTCAGGCACCGCTCTCTTAAAAAAAAAAATAGGTGCCAGCAGATGGTATGGTGGTTGAGGTACTGAACTTCCATATGGCCACCCGAAGTTCGAGTTCCAGGCCGGGTGGCTTGCTTTCTCACTTTCCCTCTCTCACTATCTCTGATGAGTATATGTATCCTACAGTAAATTAAAAAAACAAAAACAAACAAACAAACAAAAAACAAATAAAATTAAATAAGTAATTCTTTAAGAAATTATTTAAAAAATATTAGGTCATCAGGAAAGTCATGACATACTTTTCTGTTTTTCTATGCAAAGATGCAACATTACTTTCCCAACAACCCAATAAATATATAAGTAAATAAAGAGAAAGTGTCACATTCTAATACGATAGAAACATTCGTAAGTCTAAAAGTCTATGAGTTTCCCTAGCATATCAGACTTTGCCTCATTCTAAATTAGTCCCCCATCTGTGATAAGTGAATTATAAAAGTCCAAATATTCTTGAATTTATTTATTATATAATAAGGCTTTTGTAAACCAAAATTGCCAGCTCTAATACATATTACAACCAAACTAAGCTTTAAAAAAAATGCATCTCACACATCACAGACAAAATTCATCAGGACATTTTTTTCTGGAGAGGTTTTTTGCCTTGGGACACGTGTGCCCACCAGAGAGAGACAAAGACAGAGACACTGAGAGGAAAAGTGAGAAATCATCCCCCAGAGAGGATGGCCACACAGCAATCCCTTCTCCTCCCTTCTCTTCTTGGGATCTTGGGCAGGCATGCACACACGTGCGCATATGAACACATACGGGCCCAACATAATTTTCAAGCCACTGGGTGTGGGACTCAATTGTGATCAGCCATATGGGAGTCCAGTGATGTAACTGCTACACCACCTGCAGGGCCCCAAGACATTCTTTTTAAAAATTAGTTTTAAATTTAAATTATTGTTATCCTACCTGATTCCTTTTCTCCAGATGTAATCAGAAGTGGGGGCAAACTGTCTTCATCATTAGGTAGAAGACTAATCTTATTGCAAACATACTTGTCAATACCAGACAGCAGCCTAAAATCTGAAATACTAGCAACAGGTAAACTGCCTTTAACTAATACACCAGTAGGACTAGATGGTTCCTCAATATCTGCAAACACATCATCATCAAGTGTAAAAGAACTCGAGGTAGGTAACTCCTCAGTTCCTGTTTGTATAGGTAGTTTTTCTACTGATGGAACCTGAGAAATAGGACTCTGAATTATCTCATTTTTTGTATTATCTTCTCTCTCATTGTTTGGTTTTTCCACTGTAGTAGAATGGGCATTATCCATTGTGTTTACTGTCTGTGAAATAGAAAACAAAACAAATCAGCTCATATTCTCTGTTCAATTATGAAATACTGATTTCTATTGCTCAACATATCTTTTTAGTAAGAATAAATAAAAACCAAAACGAGCTTAGGTATTGTTTGTAGAATCCAAAGAAACCATATCATTTTGCTTCTTTAAATTCAGGACCATAAAGTATTAAAGAATGACTTTCCTATGTGCTCAGATAGGTATTAATGACTCTAATATTACAGACTGGAAAAACAAGGCACGAACTTCAGGATACTGTACCATTTCACACAATGAGCACATTTTATTCAACCCAAGGCTCCCCCCTTCCACGATAGCCAAAAATGTCATAGGTGGGAAGAAAGAAGGGGAGAAGTAGGAGAAGGAGGGGAAGGGAGTGGTTAGGAAACAGGGTGGTAGATACAGTCAATAATAATTACCATCTAAAATAAACTATCCATCAAGTCTGTTTGAATAAAGCCCCTTTCTTTTCTTTTTAGATGGGCCAGAATTCAAATTAATGAGAACCATTTATTAATTCAAGTAATATTTACTAGCCTGTTTAGAGCTTTTATTTTATTAAAATATGAAGAGTAGGTGCTAGCTTAGAAACATGCCTTCAGTAATTATAACTATTTGTAAAATCTAGCCCATCAACTTTTACTGACAAATGGCATAATGTTTATATAGCATGTGAATTCCAATTAAGCATGAAAATATCCATCATATCTAATGTTATGTACCCAGGATCAACCAGGCAGCTGGCACAGAGTAGGTGCTCAATAAGTATTTTTTTAATAAATAAAATATTCCTAATTTCTGTTTTAAAACTTGTATCTATAAGTATTTTACTACTTACACAATGAGAATTCTTAGTGGGCTTAGATTCTATAATATGTATCTTTTACTTAATACCTAACACATTCATGTAAATGCAAACATAAACATCACTAGATACTTCCTGAATATTTGAAAATCATTAAATATATATTAGTCTAAATGAAAATTACTAAATCTCAGTTACATTTCTCTACACCAGTAGTTCTCAAACTGTGGTCCAGGGATCCCTGGGATTGCCAAGACCCTTTCAAGGAGTTGGTGAGGTCCTATGATTTTCCTCATGTAATTTAACAAAACAATATGTCATAGCACAACCAATGTAGAGGCAGAGGTAGCAACCTGTCTACTATTAAGTTAGACAGGGAAATTTGTAAAAATGTAAAACAATGCCAGTCTTCCACTAAACTTTTGTTTTGAAAAAGTTATTTTTCATAAAAATAGTGTTACTATTAAGGTAATGACTTTATTTGTAAGTAATAAACATTTTTAAAGTCTCTCTTTTTTATTTTCCCTAGAGGACTCATGCACATGCCAGAGACAGACAGAAAGAGAGGGAAAAGAGAAGCACACCCCCATGAGGAGTGGTCGTGTTGCAATCTCTTCTCCTCCATCTCTCCCTCCTTTCAGTATTTGGTGCAAGCAAACACACACACATACTGTTTCTCAAGTTGTAGGACTAGACTTGAATCACAAAATTGGCCAAGTGGGATCCTATTACCTAATCACCACGCTATAAGCCAACCCTCAACTTCAAATTTAATATAATAAATATCAATAGGCATAACATATGTAATCTATAGGTCTTTGGGGTTCTCAAGAACTTTTAAGAATATAAAGATGGAGCCAGCAGGTGGCATGGTGGTTAAAGTGCTGACTCCCACATGGCCAACTGCGTTTTGAGTCCCAGATCTGGCAGCTTAAAACTCACACCAGGTCCATGTGAGTGTATGGCCAAAATCCCAGGGGAAGAACGGAGGAGAGGAGATTGTGGTATGGCCATCCCCGCCCCCGGAAGTGACTTCTCACTTTCTGTCTCTTTGCAAGTGCTTGCATCCTATAGCAAATATCTCTCAGAAAAAAAGTAAACTCTGAAACATATTCATTACTTCAACACATTTTGTATTTTAGGAAGCTGTAAGCATTAAAACGATAAGTACTCTAGTAATCATCCACAGAATTATCTAAACAATGAAATTTTACTGAATACCTCATTCTTTAGATCCTTTATCATGGGCATGTCAGGTAAGACAGGACTAAAGTCTTCAGAACATCTTTTATTTCCAGATGATAATTTTGTTGTATCTGCCACTTCACCATTAGGCAATATACCATCTGCAAACCACACTCTCTTCTGTTCTTTAGAGCACAATCCTAAAATGAGTTGAAAAAGTAAAGCATTTTAATTTGGCAATGATTTAATACCAAGCGTAGCAGGAAATATTTTCAAAAGCTTTTTGCTGCATTATCAGGGTTGCAAAGGCCTACAAGAAATGGCCTTTTGTGGATTCCTATACCCGGAGTAGAGTCTGTTTCTATCTAATTTATATAATGTGAGTCTATAAGAACAGGAGTGGCCTTGGGAATCATGTACTCTGGAAAGAAGTGAACAGAGAGATTATACTTTAAAGGCATTGGGGGAAGATTCCTTTCAGTATTTGGTGCAAGCAAACACACACACATACTGTTTCTCAAGTTGTAGGACTAGACTTGAATCACAAAATTGGCCAAGTGGGATCCTATTACCTAATCACCACGCTATAAGCCAACCCTCAACTTCAAATTTAATATAATAAATATCAATAGGCATAACATATGTAATCTATAGGTCTTTGGGGTTCTCAAGAACTTTTAAGAATATAAAGATGGAGCCAGCAGGTGGCATGGTGGTTAAAGTGCTGACTCCCACATGGCCAACTGCGTTTTGAGTCCCAGATCTGGCAGCTTAAAACTCACACCAGGTCCATGTGAGTGTATGGCCAAAATCCCAGGGGAAGAACGGAGGAGAGGAGATTGTGGTATGGCCATCCCCGCCCCCGGAAGTGACTTCTCACTTTCTGTCTCTTTGCAAGTGCTTGCATCCTATAGCAAATATCTCTCAGAAAAAAAGTAAACTCTGAAACATATTCATTACTTCAACACATTTTGTATTTTAGGAAGCTGTAAGCATTAAAACGATAAGTACTCTAGTAATCATCCACAGAATTATCTAAACAATGAAATTTTACTGAATACCTCATTCTTTAGATCCTTTATCATGGGCATGTCAGGTAAGACAGGACTAAAGTCTTCAGAACATCTTTTATTTCCAGATGATAATTTTGTTGTATCTGCCACTTCACCATTAGGCAATATACCATCTGCAAACCACACTCTCTTCTGTTCTTTAGAGCACAATCCTAAAATGAGTTGAAAAAGTAAAGCATTTTAATTTGGCAATGATTTAATACCAAGCGTAGCAGGAAATATTTTCAAAAGCTTTTTGCTGCATTATCAGGGTTGCAAAGGCCTACAAGAAATGGCCTTTTGTGGATTCCTATACCCGGAGTAGAGTCTGTTTCTATCTAATTTATATAATGTGAGTCTATAAGAACAGGAGTGGCCTTGGGAATCATGTACTCTGGAAAGAAGTGAACAGAGAGATTATACTTTAAAGGCATTGGGGGAAGATTGAAAGTCCCTAATACTGAGGCTATATTTGTGAATACTGTTCTCTTGTTATATAGCATCCACAGAAAAAGGTTATAAAATCTCTGATGATTTTAGAATATTTAAAAATCAGTAGGTTTCATGTCTACCTTCCAGAACATAATAAAAAGAACACTGAAAAACCCTGAGTCATATATCTATTTTTGCAATATAGGTGGAAATATTAAATAAGGTATCCTTCCCAAATTTGCATTATTTTCATAATTTAATAATTTAGGTTGACAACACAAAAATATGTAAATATTGGGTGGCATGGTGATTAAGGTGCTGGGCACTCCATAGTTCGAGTCCCAGACCTGCTGGTTTGCTTTCTCACCTTCTGTCTCTCTCTTGTCAAAAAAAAAAGAAAAAAAGAAAAGAAAAAGAATGAATAAAGTTTTAAAAATATGTATATATTTTTAAACACAAATTTGTCTTTAAAACTACAATATATTGGGAACCAGCAGTTAGCATTATGGCTATGTTGCTGGACTCCCACGTAGTCGACCACGGTTCACATCCCGGACCCGCTGGCTTAAACTCACGCCGGGCGCGTGTGCATACGTGCCCAAGATCCCAAGAGGAGAATGGAGGAGAAGGGATTGCGGCGTGACCATCCCCCCTGGGGGGGTGATTTCTCGCTTTCTGTCTCTATGTCTCTCTCTGTCTGTCTGGCGAGTGCACGCTCCCTATAGCAAAAACCTCTCCAAAAAAAAAAAAACTGTAATATATTGATAGAACCATATTTTATGGATCTCCTGGTTTCAGTTATAATAAATAGAAAATACCTACTGACTAAATAATTAAAGCTTAAAGTGTCAGATCAAACCAAATCTGGTTTTAACTGATACTTTCAGTTTTTTTTTTTTTTAGTATGTTACTAATAGTTTATGTTTTAAAATGTAAGCCTTGAGGAACCAGCAGATGGCATAATGGTTACGTTGCTGGACTACCACATAGTTGACCATAGATCGAGTCCCAGACCTGGTGGCTTAAAATTCACACCAGGTGGGGGACCAGCAGTTAGCATAATGTCCATGTCACTGAACTCCCATGTAGTAGACCGTGGTTCACGTCCCACACCCGGTGGCTTAAACTCACACCAGGCGTGTGTGCATACGTGCCCAAGATCCCAAGAGGAGATCAGAGGAGAAGGGACTGCAGTGCGGTCATCCCCCCAGGGGGTGATTTCTTACTTTCTGTCTGTCTTCTTTCTCTTTCTGGTGAGCGCACATGCCCTATAGCAAAAACCTCTTAAAAGGAAAAAAAAAAAAAGAAAGAAAAACCCTCACACCAGGTGCATGTGCATGTGCATGTGTGCCCAAGAACCTAAGAGAAGAATAGAGAAGGGAGTGCAATGTGGACATCACCCCTAGGGGGTGATTTCTCGCTTTTTATCTGTCTCTCTACGGAGTGCACGCATCCTGTAACAAAAATTTCTGTTAAAATAAAAAAAGTGTGGCTTGGGGTCAGCAGGTGACATAGTGGTTATGGCACTAGATTCCCATATGGCTGACCACAGTTTGGGTCCCAGATCTGGCAGCTTGCTTTCTCAATTTCTCCCCCTTTCTGCCTCTCTCTGGTGAAGGTATGTGTCCTGAAGCAAATTTATAATAATAATGACAAATATCAATAAAATTAATAGATCTCTAAAAATATATATATCTTACTCAAGATCCTAAATGATAATCAGTTACAAAGAAGAACAGGTAGGGAGCCAGCAAGTGGCACAGAGGTTAAGGCTTTGGACTCTAACATAGCCGATCATGGTTTGAATTCCAGACTCGGTGGCTTGAAAACTGCACCAGGCACATGTGCATGTGTACCCAAAGTCCCAAGAGAACAGAAGAGAAGAGACTGGTATGGCCATCCCCTCTGGGCGGTGATTTCTCACTTTCTCTCTATCTCTACCCCCACAACCCACCCCATACATGTCAAACGCATGCATCCGTAGCAAACTACAATCAGAAATAAATCTTATTAATTTAAAAAAAAGCAAGTATAGATTAAGTCAAAGATTTAAAAGCAGAATTTAAAAACATTTCATTATTGTAGTAAAACATGCATTTAAAAATAGGTTTTTAAGGAAATGGGATGTCTCTCAAATCTAAGTCCACCCCTCTACATGGTACCCTTTATGTCAGGCTGGACATCTGGAAAGTACAACCCCCTAGACTTCATTGCTAGCTACCTTTGGTCAGGTTCTGCCAATGATAGATAGTGATGGCAGACCTAAAGGAGAAAAGGGAGACTTCTTTCTGTTTCTGGTTCCAGGATCCTTGTAATGGCAGCAGCACCACCAAATACAGTTGCAGGAACCATGATTTTCAGTATGCCTAACATCAAACCTGGAACTCTTCTTCAGTCATCTGAGCATCAACCCTATGAGGTCCCTTCACGGTTTCAACACCTGCTACTTGGTATTTCCCCAAAGATCACAGCAGCATGCGGTGCTCCACCCCGACCCCAGGTCTGACAACCACTTATCCCCTGCGGCCCCTCCATCAAGCTTTAGTGACACTTCCTCTCCTTTTTTCCCCAGTCCTAGTGATAGTGACTGCCTCCTGCAGTTACAACATACATGTGCACATGTGTAACCAAGTGTCTGTGTTAACTCCCTCCTCTTATCTGTCTAGACACTGGGTTCTCTTTCCTATCTAGACCCTGACTACACTAGATAATTTCTATTTTAGTGATTTATCTCCAGTCTACGACACAGCATTTTCTTCTTGTTACCTTCAGCACTTGGTTGTTTAAGTGCTGAGACTGGCAAAGTTGTAGGTGAAGATGTACTGGAGGTTTGGGTCTCCTGAAGAGGCTGGACAGTGGCACATGCATCCGAATGATTAGATTTAAGGTTAGAACCAGTTGGGCTCATCATCCTTTCAAAGGCTTGGGCTATAAAGGGAAAAGCAAGACCATTAAATTCTCAGGTGTTTTTGAACTTCAAAATAAATTATAATACATATTCATTTTTCAAGTTGTAAGGAAAAAAATAAATGGCTTATCAAGAAAAAGAGGGAGCTGGTAAAGATACCATCTGTACAACTAGCACAGGTTCCTTACTGTGGTTGGCAGCACTCCATATCGATAAGGAGAGTTATTTCAATATTATTTGGTGTTTTGATATATACTACAAAGAATAATCCTTATTTAACATGATCTCTGTTTTTGCCTTTGCACCTCTAGACTCTATTTTCAACACAGTTCAGAGTGATTCTTTTAGACATAAATTATAACTCATCATCCTCCTGTTCACAAATCCTCTAATGGTTTCCTAACAGAGTAAACATTAAAGCTGTTACAATGGTTCCGATTTCTCTACATAATCTTCATCTCTACTTACTCCACCTTCCTGGTAACTTATTTGACTTCAGCCCTCACAGCAATCCAACTTGCTCACAATGATGTGACCCAGGACTGCGTTCAACAAGTAAAGCAAGCACTTGCCTGGCTCAGGGACTTTGCTTTTATTATTCTACCTAGAATGTTCTTCCCATAGGCACTCATATAACTTTATTCTCTCACTTAAGTTTCTGCTTACATGTCAGAATATTACAAAGCCTCACTCTGACCACCATATAAAAATATTACCTCTCGCCATGAATCCATTGCTGTTCATCCCTTTACACTTGTTCATTTTCATGTAGGTTATCATCACCATCTGATACTCTCTCTGCTCACTATATCTCCCCACATTCATAAACTACATGAAGTATCTAGTTTGTTCTCGGTTAGAGCTCTAGAACACAGAACAGTGCCTGAATAATTTTCCTTAGGAGTTTTTGCCAGGGTTGGCATGTGGCATGGTAGTTAAAGGAGCTGGATTCCCACATGTCCAATCACGCTTCAAGTCCCAGACCAGACGCTTGCATTCTCGCTTTCGCTTTCTCTCTCTAGTCAAATTAAAATATAGTTAACAGCAAATAAAATTAAATAAATAAATAATTAGTAAAAAAGAAGATGTGTGGCCATAGGGCACATGTGCTTACTAGAGAGAGGCAGAGAAAGACAGAGAGAGAGAGAGAAAGTGAGAAATTATCCCCCAAGGGAGATGGTCAAGCCATAATCCCCTCTCCTCCAGTCTCTTTTCAGGACTTCGGGCACTTATGCCCACACTCTTAGTGTGATTTTGAATCTACCAGGCCTGGGACTCACATGGTGGGTCAAGTGGGAGTCCAGCTCCTCAACCACCATGCCACCTGCTAGCCCATAGTGAATAATTTTTTATACAAAAAATACAGAACAGAATGGGCCAGCAGGTGGCATGGAGGTTAAGGCGCTGACTTCCACACTGCCTTGCACCAGGCATGTAAGCACGTGTGCTCAAAACCCCAAGAGAAGAATGGAGGAGAAGTGACTGTATGTGCTCCCCCACCCCCAGAGGAGGTGATGATTTCTCACTTTCCCTCTCTCTGTCTCTCTCCAGCAAGTGCATGCACGCTATGGCGAAAACCTAAAAAAAAAAAAAAAAAAAAAAAAGAAAACAGTAAAAAAATCAGAAAGCACTGGCATTCCTCCGTTGAGCACTTCTCCAAACTAATCCACTATAAATAAACTTCCTCAAGTACCAATGAACATTAGCACTCTGAAGTAGCTTCCATTAACCACTGAAGTCCAAATGGCTTATTCGGGTTTCAGTCATTTCCAAGTGGTCCCAGAGCCACCCAATGACGTCCACATGCGTGCTTCCTTTAAACTCATACAATCTAAGCATACCTTTACCTTTCTCATTATTCACAATCTCTATTCAAATGCTATTCTTTTTCTTCTATTAATTCATGGAATGTATCTTATGAATATGATGGAACCATTTTTCTCCTCTTATCTATAACATTAAATAATCACTTCTATCTTTTTCAACCCTAAAGTTGATTTTTAAATAACTTATTTTTAAAAATAACTTACTTATGCTTTCTTAAGGTACACAAATTAATGATTAATTTAATTTCTAAATTCTTCTGAATTCTAACAGATTGCCTTGCTAATAGCATCAGCAGTTGTCTTATTGTCTACCGAAACGGCATATAGGAATAAACAAAACACTACAAACAAGCTAACCTCTTGCACAAACAATGGTGGTAGCACAGAAATATTAAAAGATTATATTCTATCATCTTCCAGAGCAGAGGTCAACAGCAGAGGTCAAAAGCAGCTTACCTCAGGCTAAGACTCACATCAGAGCTTTTTGGAGAACTGCTGAAAAAATTTATCTTCATTCAAAAGAGAAAAACAGATTATTATCAGGTATTAATTTTCCTAACAGGAAGGAGTGTCTGAGCTAGTGCACAGGTTTGGTAAAAAATGGTCCGAGCGTATTCACTGGGAATTAAACTGTCAACATATCTTTGAAAATGCCAAGAAGTATTCAAAAGAACAAACAATATTTGGGGGCAAAACACAACACACATATACACAAGACCAGGGAGAACTCAATGACCACCAAGACTTGCTGATAATGGCAGCTAGCTAAAGAGTCAGAGAAATGATGGGTAGTGTACACACACAAAACTTTTAAATTGAGAGAGGGAAAAAAGTATGAGGCAAAAATATGCAAATAGGGTGGCAGACCGACAAATTTACAAAATCATACATATTACTACCATATCTTTCATTTCCATTTTAGGTTATCATTTCCCAAACAGTGGGGACTATTATCTTGCCTTATCCTATTAGTATATAATATTGAATACTATTTATTGATAGGTACTCTATAAATGTCTAGATTAAAACAATGAGGATGACAATGGTGATGATGAAAACAAATAGGCAGATGAAATGCAGAATTTAGGGACTTGGTACCTGTTAAAAGTTAATGAACTGCCACTCCAGAAACTGAATGCTTCCTTTTCAGACTGGTAGTATTAATTGTGAGAGCAGAACAAAAAGAAGAGAAACCAAGCCTTGGGATGTCCCACCTAAGCCAGATAAGTCAACACTAGGTCTTTGCCTTAAGAAAATAAAGAAGTTTATCTTCGTCACAATCCAATAGTTTTTGAGATATATTCAATTACTGGAAGAAAATAAGTTAAGCTCAAACTCACCTTTACTGATAGTCTCATAGCAGACTACACACACTCTTGCTTCCTTTTCTAGATACTGCAGTTTACACTTCCTATTACAACAGACACCACAAAATACCTACAGAGAATAAAATAATAAATTTGTTTTTGTTTTAAATATATTTATACATACTAGAACCAGAAGGAGAGGTCTCAATTCTAATTAACCAAAACCTATTTTCCTCATTTCTTCATTTTCCTCATTATTTTATTACAATAATCATAGATAGAAAGAGGTTTCTGTGACATAAGACCATGTCTCTGAATTCCTTTAAATCAATTCTGTTAACTGAAAAAGTAACAAAAACTTTCTTTTTCTTTTAAGAGATTTTTGCTATAGGGTACATGCACTAGCTGGAGAAATAGAGAGAGAAAGCAAGAAATGCCCCCCAAGGAGGGATGGCCATGCCAGTCTCTTCTCCTCCATTCTCCTCTTGGGATTTTGGGTACACACATAAACATGCACATGCACACACAGGTGGCATGAATTTCAAGCTGCCAGGTCCAGGACTTGAACCAGTTAGCCATGTGAGGGTCCAGTGACATACCCATTATGCCATCTGTTTTTCCCACAAAAACTTTTTTTAAAGAATAAGTTTATAACTTAAAAGTTTTCTATAGTTCTTTCTTTAAAGATTTAAAGAGTAGAGGAGCCAGCAGCTGGCATGTGATTAAAGGCACTGGACTCCCACATGACTGACCACACAGTTTAAGTCCTGGACCTGGCAGCTTAGTTTCTCACTTTCCCTCTCTTTGTCTCTGTCTCTCTCTGGTAAAACTGGAAAATAATAATAATAATTATAATAATAAAGTTAAATAAAATGATTCTTAAAAAAAGGATTTAGGGACCAGCAGGTGGCGTGGTGGTTGGGGCGCTGGACACTCCCACATGGCTGGGAGTGGTGGCTTGCTTTCTCACTTCCTCTCTCACTCTCACCCTCTGTCTCTCTCCGGTCAAATTAAAAAAAAAAAAATCAATGAATGAATAAATAAATAATAAAATAAATTATTTTTTTTAAAAAAAGGATTTAAACAGTAGAATATTATTTTGCTAAAAAAAGACTGGTCTAAAATCAACATACTACAGGCTGACGACCCCTAATTCAAAAATCCAAAATCTGACATGCTCCAAAATCTGAAACTTTTTAAATGTTGATCTGACACCACAAGTGGAAAAATCCATACCTGGTTTCATGTCACAAGTCTTAGTCAAAATGCTATAATACAAAAATATTGTATAAAATTATCTTCAGGCTGTATGTATAATTTGTATATAAAACAATTTCATGTTTAGACTTGGGTCCCACCCCCAAGTGTAATTGATGTATAATTCAAATATTTCAAAATCTGAAAAAATCTAAAATCCAAATTGCTTCCAATCTCAGAGAGTGACAGGGAGAGGAAAATTAAGAAATCACCACTCAAGGACATGGCCATGTCACAATTCCTTCTCCACCAGTCTCCTCCTGGGATTTTGGGCATGTATACACACGTGTCTGATGTGATTTTCAAGCCACTGGGTCTGAGATTTGAACTGCAGTTAACCATGTGAGAGTCCAGCATCTTAACCACTATGACACCTGCTGGCCCCAATATCAAGCATTTTGGATAAGGGAGAGTCAACCTGTATTGAAAAGTGCTAATAAAAAATGCAATACTGTTTCTACAGTTGACCCTTAGAGTTTAGAAGCTATTTTTTTTTTAAAGGTTTTTGCCATAGGGCTTATGCGCTCACCAGAAAGAGACAGTGGGAGGAAAACTGAGAAATCACCCCTGGAGGCGGGATGGCCACACTGCAATCCCTTCTCCTCCATTTTCCTGGGACTTGGGGAACGCAAACACATGCACCTGGCATGATTTTCAAGCCACCAGGTCTGAAAACTTGACCACAATCAGTCATGGGGGTCCAACACCTTAACTATTTATGGCACCTGCTGGCCCCATTTTCAGAGGCAATCATTTTACCCACTAAGAACAGAAATGAGGTCATTTTCAGTATTCTGAGCCTTGTACAAGTCAATTTGCTTTTCACTGTTTTCCTAGGCATCGGTCAAAACACTAGATGCAGAATGATCTTAAAATTAAGTCCTTAAGGACAAAGGGGGATCTGACTGAATTTGGAACTTCTAATGTGTCAATATTCAAGAAATAAAAACACATTCTCTTAAATTTCACAAAAATGAGTAGTGTTCCTCATTGCCCAGCATGTAGTTAATACTCATGACATGACAGTGTGACATTTACTCAACATTAAGCGATCTACAAAATGACAGTACCATATATATATATATATATCATGACTGGCAGGGAAAAAACATCTATTTTAAATGAATTCAATGTTGCAGCCATAGGTTTTATTAAAAATGCCTCAAAGAAAAAAGACTTAAAGATTTTTATAACTTACTTTCCCACATGCTCGGCAGTGGTGTCGCCGTTTAGTGAAAGTAAATTTGACTTGGCAGTTCATACAGTTCGGAGCTTCTGAATCAGGAACCCAAGTAGGTTGGTTCTGGCCCAAAACTAAGCCTTCTTTGCAAGTGTTTTCAGGTAAAGAATCTTCACTGGCAGTTACAAAACTGGATCCACCTTCAAAATTACTTTCTATATCCATGTAGTTAGAATTGAAGCTAACTTGAGGATCACTTGTAGAACCTGGAATACAAGTTTCTGGAGCAATGGTATTTGCTATAGGGGGTTCACTTTCTGGCATATTTGGAATATCTGGCTTATTTAGTTCCTTTGAGCTCCTTGTTCTTGATGAAAGGCTAAATAATTGCTTAGGTCTGGCCCCTCCAACATGAGTAGATTGACTGTCAATAGAAGAGAATGGTAATTCATTTGTAACCTCAGACTTACTGGTGGGTAACTCTTGTTCATTTGGAATTGTGTTCTTCTCCCTTAAAGAAAGGCCACCATTTCCTACTGCATTTTGTTTATCAACTGTTTCACAAATCATATTTATACCATAACTTTCCCCAGTAGCTCCTGCTTCAGTGTTGAAATGCATATTGATATTTCCATCATCCAAGTTTTTCTTATCTACCTGATTCATTTGAGATTTTGAGTCACTTACATTTTCTTCAAAAGATTTGTCAGTGGTCTGAAGATACTGTTCTGTCAGAAAAGCATCAAGCTCAGCATCACTAATTAGAGTGCCACTTTTCATTCCTTCATCAATATTAAAGTAATCCAAGTCTTGCCCATCCCTAGCACTACTTGAAAAAGTGAGACTTCCACAGCAATCAGGAGACGCTGAAGCATCAGTGTCAGAAGGCTCTATTTGACACTCTGCAGCTATAGAACTGATGTTAACAGGGTAATTCAAAGATTCAATTCCGATTTCCATCTGATCAGGACCTACCTCTCTATCTCCCATCTTTTCAATTAATGGCTGATAAAGTATGTTTTTATATTTTTCCTGTTTCAAAAGATCAGTCTCCTTGAATGGTTCCCCACCTGAAATAATACTCTTCTGCATTTCTTCATCCAAAGTCACTGTGTCTTGTATATTATCTTCTTGTTCATTCTGAGGCAAAAAATCACCGTGTAATTTATCTTCCATTAATGATTCACACAAAGACCCAGATACTGGAAGACAGGACAATGAGGAGTGTATGTCATCACTTGAAACATGTAGAGCTGAAGAGGAATCTTGGATTACATCATTATTATCTTTAAGACCTAAATTTCTTGAGTCTTCTTTTGCAGATTGTTTTATAAACACAGGAGTCCTATCTTCCTGAAAGGAAATGTCAGGCAATTTGGAATTTCCATCTCTTGAATTTGAATTATTTAAGCATAAGCTTTCATTTTTTGGAGGACTATCAGGCAAAGCACTTGTTCTGCCTCCTTCTTTTAAACATTGTATGGTAGTTATGACTGCCACATCGACCTCTTCTTTCACCAAACAACCATCTTCTTCTAATGAATTGCATGGCTGACTCTTGTGTTGTAGGCTGTCTTTGGTATCGAACGTTTTGGAATTTGGTTGAGTCAAAGTAGATAACATGTTAAAATCAGTAACTGGTTCTAAATTATTAGAGATCTTTTTGTCCTTTAAATTTTCCATTTTGCTATAATTACTAGAGTCTGAAAATGTTTTCTCTACTTTTATACCCAATTCTTTCATTCCCCCAGTTTCTCTATTTTGTAATTCAGAGTTGGCCTCATTCTGTTCTTTTCTAACAGTCTCTTTACCATGGTCTACTGAAGAAACATACAGAGTATCTGATGCTGAAAATAAATCCAATCCAACCAATGAATCTGCACTCGACTTAAAATCATCTGACAATTTTTTAATATCTTCTTCACTATTAGTTGGATGAACTAAGTTACCCGTATCACTTATCAGATCACAGACAGGTTTACTACATCGTCTCAAATACAGAGGCTGAATTTCACCTGAAGTACCACCATCCACAGAAGAAAGGAGATCTAGTCCTGTTACATTTTTTTCATTTTGTATAGAAGTTAGTCCCGTGAGTGTTTTTTTGTTCAGGGAAATCTCATCTGTTTCAAAGCATGTTTCTGATGAGGCACAACATTGTTGGTCCTTTGGTAGTAGTGAAGTTAGCTGTGAGGAAGACAACTCTGAAGAAACTGAACAGTGGGTAGAATCATATGCATTTTGGGCATCCTGGAGATAATCTTGCTCATCTAATTAAAAACAGAGACATAACATTATTCAGGAGTCCCAAATAAAATAAAAATTATTATAAAGATACTATGTTTTCTATGAATTCTAAACTACATAAAATTAAACTACATAAGCTTTTTTTTAAAACCAGAGATAGATTACCTTTTTGCAAAATTAATAACCCCCCAAAACTAGTTTTTAATCTGGCTTTAAAGTACTTTCAGGCTCTTACTTTTGAATGTAGAAGTATTCAAGTGACAGAAATTCTGGTCAAAATAACTCAGTTGCTTTATACAAACCAGATTAAGGAAGAACTGAAAAGCAATCTAACTTCTTTACTCTGCCCTCCAGTTTCCTAGATTTCATACGGACTCGCATAGTAAAGAAACACCAATTTTTCAGTTTGCTCATATGCCACTTTCAAAGTTTTCTTATAGTTAAATTTGTATCTGAGAAAAAACTTCTGCTTTCCTTACTTCTGTTTTTGGATATTGGTTTTATTCAGTACAATAATATTTTCAAATGTTATAATAAAATAAGTTAACTTTTTACAGGAGCTAACAATGTGACTTCACATGTTGCTTTTAATAAGTATTTAATAGCTAAATTTGTACATGAGAAAAAAACTTCTAGTTTCTTTACTTCTATTTCTGGCCTTTGGTTTCATTCAGTATAAAAGTCAATTAATCTGTTACAATGAAATTAGTGAACTTTTTATAGGGGCTAATAACGGCACCAAAATCAAAATAGAATTTTGCTAAGAGTACTCTATACCTGAGGTAACTGAAATACAGACACTTAGAAATACCACTAGTGGCTAAAATGGAAAACCAACAGACCTGGGTTCTGTTCAAAATCATCGAGGAGTTTGTCCAGATCACTGACAGCTGCTTTAAAATAACTATCCATCCTACCTGTAGTCTTATTCAGAATTTATTCTTCTATACCTAGAAAACAAAAATAAATAAAAGTATGATATTTTATTTAGTTCTCAAACATATAAATACTATGTAATCTACTCCATGCCAAGAAATACAGTTGGAGAAGAGACAAAGAAATACAATTTAAGAGTACTGTTTTGATAAATCTACAATTTAGCTGGGGAAATTGCCTCTCTTCATTTAAAACTGACATGAAAACCAACTCTAACAACATAACATTTGCATTATAAATTTTAAAACACATTTATAACTCATGGGTCAAAAACCAATTTATAATAAAAAGCTAAGAGGTCAGCAGGTGGTGTGGTGGTTAAGGGTGCTGGACTCCCACATGGCTGACTGGTGGCTTGTTTCCCAGTTTCTCTCTCTCTCTCTCTGGCCATCTGTGTTCAAATTAAAATAAAGTTAAATAAAGTAATTCTTTAAAAAATAAATAAAATAAAGAGCTAAAATACTTATAAATACTATATATCAAATAATATATACTCCATATGAATAAAAATACTGCATATAAAAGCATGTAGATTCAGCAAAAGTGGTATTTCAGGGAATGGTTTAGAGCCTTACAGATGCTTATATAAAAGAAAATTGAAAACTAATAAGCTAAAAACAAAAATTAAAGGAATAGAAAACAGGGATCAGCAAATGGTGTAATGGTTACATCACTGAACTTCCATGTAGTTGACCACCGTTCAAGTCCCAGACATACAGCTTAAAATTCAAGCCGGGCACTTGTGTATGCATGCCCAAAATCCCAAGAGAAAAATGGAGGAGAAGGGATTGCAGCATGGCCATACCCACAGCAGGTGGTGATGTCCTGCTTTCTTTCTTTCTGTTTCTCCAAAAAGTGCACAGACCCTATAGTAAAAATCTCTTTAAAAAAAAAAAAAAAGGGTCAGCAGGTGGCTAAGGGCACTGGACTCCCAGGTGGCTGACCTTGGTTCAAGTCCTGGACCTAGCAACTTGCTTTCTCACTTTCCTTCTCTCTCTCTCTCTCATTCTGTCCCTCTCTGGTCAAATTAAAATAAAGTTAAAATAATTTAAATAATCTTTTAAAAAAGGAATATAAAACAAGCACCTAAGAAAAGGCACAAGAGAGGCTGGCAGGAAGAGTGGTGGTTGAGGTGCTGGACTCCCACATGGCCGACCACAGTTCAAGTCCTGGACCTGGAGGCTTGCTTTCTCACTCTCCTTTCTCTCTGTGTCTCTCTCTCTGGTCAAAATTGAAGACTAATAATAATAAATATAATTAAAAGTAAATAAATCTTTTTTTAAAAAGAGGCACAAGAAAACTAAAAATTGGGTTTTTTTAAAGATTTATTTATTTATTTAATTCCATTTGTTATTACTATTTTTTAAATTTGACCAGACATAGACAGAGAGAAAAAAGTGAGAAAGAAAGTCATCAGGTCTGGGACTTGAACTGTAGTCGGTCATGTGGGAATCCAGCACCTTTATCTACCACACCACCTGCCAGCCCCTAAAAGTCAGTTTTACGAAAAAATAAAGAAGATGAACCACTGGTAAAGAGCAAAAACTCCACCAAATAAGCCTGAGATACCTTACAGGAATCTGATCAGTGACTAATGGGGTAATGTCAAAAGGACACAAAAGTCAAGCTAAAGGGAATCTCATTGTCTTAAATGGGACAATTCGCTCTTTCCGTCTTAGTCGCCGACATGTCATCCAGACTGAGGAAGACCCGGAAACTTCGAGGCCATGTGAGCCACGGCCATAGCCGCATCAGCAAGCACCGGAAGCATCCCAGAGGCCGGGGTAATGCTGGTGGCACGCATCACACAGGATCAGCTTCGAAAAAAACCACCCAGGTTACTTTGGGCAAGCTGGTAAGAGGCATTACCACTTAACGAGGAACCAGAGCTTCTGCCCCACTGTCAGCCTTGATAAAGTGTGGACCTTGGTCAGTGAGCAGACACGGGTAAAATGCCGCCAAATACAAGACGGGAGCAGCTCCCATCACTGATGCTGCAATCGGGCTACTACACAGTTCTGGGGAAGAGAATGCTCCCGAAACAGCCTGTCATCGGGAAGGCCACAAACGTCAGCAGGAGACCTGATGAGAAGATTAAGAGTGTGGGGGGTGCTTATGTCCTGGTTTGAAGCCACACGGAGAGAGTCTTATTAAATGCTAACAAGTGCTTTTCCCTTGGAAAAAAAAAAGAGGTGGGGGGGAGACAATTCAACACCAAAAGAATGAAGACTGAAAAGATTAAACACAAATCAAATAAATAAAAAAAAGATCATAATGATACTAAAAATCAAATATACCACCCATCAAAGGGTCACTAGGACAGTAAACTATTACTCGAACATTGATAAATTAAGTGAAGACAGCCAAAAATTTACCCTGCCGTATATTTACAAAATGTATTTTAGGATAACAAAATAATTGCTGAAGAAAATTTCTTTAGATAAAATGTTCAGTTGGGACCAGCAGTTAGCGTAATGGCTATGTTGCTGGACTCCCATGCAGTCGACCGCGGTTCGCGTCCCGGACCCGGTGGCTTAAAACTCACACCGGGCGCGTGTGCGAGCGTGCCCAAGATCCCGAGAGGAGAATGGAGAAGGGACTGCGGCGTGGCCATCCCCCTTGAGGGGTGATTTCTCGCTTTCTCTCTGTCTCTGTCTGTCTGGCGAGCACACGTGCCCTATAGCAAAAACCTCTAAAAAAAAAAAATAATAAAACAGAAATGAGCTATTGGGGTCAGCAGAAGGCATAATGGTTACGTCGCTGGACTTCCACATAGGTGACTGTAGCCTGAGTCCCAGACCCAATGGCTTAAACTTCATGTATGTGTGTGGGTGCCCAAGATCCTGAGAGAAGAATGGAGGAGATGAGATTGTGGCATGACCATCCCCCAGGGGTGATTTCTTGCTTTTTGTCTCGCTCTGTCTCTCTGGTGAGCACACACACCCTACAGTAAAAATCTCTCTTAAAAAAAAAAAAAAAAAAAAAAGAGAGAGAAAAGAGACAGAAATGAGCTATCAAGCCACAAAAAGACATGAATCTTTCCTTTTAAAGTTTATTTATTTCACGGAAGAGAAACAGAGACAAACACCTTCAACACAGTCTCATGTCACAGTCCTACCAGCCTTCCCACCCAGCAACATGAGAACATGCATGCAGGGAACCAGCAGTTAGCGTAATGGCTATGTCGCTGGACTCCCACGTAGTCGACCGTGGTTCGTGTCCCGGACCCGGTGGCTTAAAACTCACGCCGGGCGCGTGTGCGTGCGTGCCCAAGATCCCGAGAGGAGAATGGAGGAGAAGGGATTGTGGCGTGACCATCCCCCCTGGGGGGTGATTTCTCGCTTTCTGTCTGTCTCTCTCTGTCTGTCTGGCGAGCGCACGCGCCCTACAGTGAAAATCTCTCAAAAAAAAAAAAAAAAAAAGAGAACATGCATGCACATGTATCAATGGTATGTGCAAGTTGACTTGAGAACGGAACTTCAGTCTCCCACACTGCTCCCAGCACTGCCGAGTGGCATGTACCATGGCTGGGCCAAGACATAAATGAATCTTAAATGCGTATTTAAGAAAGTGAAAGAATCAACATACTATATGATTCTGATCATATGACATTCTGAAAAAGACAAAACTACAGAAACAATGAACACACTAGTAACTGCCTATAGTTTGTAGTGGGGAAAGATTAAATAGGTGAAGTAAAATTTTATTTTTTGGTGAAGTAAAATTTTTAGGGTGATAAAACTATCCTACATGATACTATAATGGTGAATACAAGACAATAAGTATTTGTTAATACAGAACTTTACAGCATGAAGAATAAACCTTATATATGTAAATTTTATATTGAAAAAATATTCATTTCATTTTATTTATTATCCTTTATTTGACCAGAGAGGGACATGGCGGGTGTGGGAGAGGAAAAAGAGAAAGAGAGAGAGCAAACAACCCGCCAGATCTGGGATTTGAACTGCAGTCAGTCACATGAAAGTCTAGCATCTTCACCCCCACACTACCTGCTGGCCCAATGTACGCAATTTTTTTTTTTTTGGCAAGAATTATTTTATTCAAGTTTGGGGCCAGCAGGAGGTGTGGTGGATAAGGGCGCTGGATTCCCATATGGCCAACCGTGGTTCAAGCCTCAGACCTGGTGGCTTGCTTTCTCGCTTTCCCTTTCTCTCTCTCTCTGGTCAAATCTAAAAAACTAACAACAAATGGAATAAAATAAATACTTCTTTTTAAAAAAAGAATTATTTAATTTAATTTTATTCATTGTCATTATTTTATTTTATTGAAGTTGACCAGACAGAGACAGAGAGAGAGAAGGAAAGTGAGAAAGCAAGCCGCCAAGTCCAGGACTCAAAACATGGTCAGCCGTGTGGGAGTCCAACTGCCTTAACCACCATACCACCTGCTGGCCCCCAGGAAAATTTTTAAAAATTTAGTGAGGAGTTTGGTGGATCCCAGAATGAAACGCAGAATGTGACAAGAGATCCAAACATATTCAAAATTGTGGCGAGCACTGTATACGGAAGCCATTTCGAGCTATTTGCCATTTTGAAACCATTAGGCTTTACTTTTTCACTGAGTAAATTGTTTCTCAGAAATTATGTGACCAACTGTTTTCCCTGGAAGTGATTGGGTTTTTAGGCAACAGGAGAGATTTACCCACATTAATGATTGGTTTATGCTGTTTTATCTCATTTGCATATTGGGTAACCAATTGGTTCCCACCAGCTGTATATAACTCGCCATTTTTTTTTTTAATAAACGGAAGTAGACGGAAGAAGACGACTTAATCAGCACCTCGTAGTGTATGTGCGTATTTTTGTCCCATCTCTCACTCCCTCCCCCAAGGAACCTGTTCCACTGTCCTGCAGGCCGGGACACAAAATGTATAAAACAAGCTTACTACAGGGGTGGAGAAATGGGGAGTTGTCCTTTGAAAATTAGTGAAGTCTGTAAAACTAAAGGCAAAAGGAACAAACACTGTACTCTAGTTGATAAAGTTGTTTTCCACGGGAGTACAGGTTAATTC